CACACACACACACACACACACACACACACACACACACACATAAAGAGGGCATTCCAAGGGAAGGGGTTAACAGATTGGAAGGAAAGAAGAAACAAAAGCCAGAGACTGAAGTGTAGTAATGGAAAAAAAAAAAGGAAAGCTGGGCTGCAAATAACATTTTTGTGCTTCAGCTAAGTGGCCAACTGCATTTTATAATTTACTGAGAGCAACAAACGTGGTGACATCAACAAATAATGCATTTGTGATTCTGTGAGGATGAGTCAGTTTCAAACAAGCTCATGGTTTTGATAGCTTAGCCGTTACGTGATGAGAACTTAGCCAACAAAATCATCATGCTTTAATTGTGAAGGGGGATTCTTATTGAATGAGATATGTGATTTATTTGGTAGGATTCCCTCTTTTTCTCCAGCTAACACTTTCTCAAAGAATGAGCATGTATATACAGGGTATAAATCTGAATTACTTTGTTCTATTGTTGTAAAAAAGAAAATACTGGAATAAAGCAACCATTGGAGATTTATGTGAGCCTTATTGTGTTCCAACCATATTAATACCAAAAATAGCACGCAGACCGCAAAAACAGCAAAGTACAAAAACAGCTAAATGAATTAGTAATAAGCAAGCACAGTAGTAAAAGACAACAAGCTGAATGTGTAAAGTACATAAACATACAGAGACAATACTAAGCCTACAGATGGCCTCAGGAGAGACAGAGTCGGTCACACATATGTGTTCTTGCTACAAATGCAGCAGCATCTCCTGCCTGAAGGCATCTGACTGCAGATAATACAAATCAAGGAAAAGCATTAATTCATGCATATAATGTAGAAGAATGAACAGTATCTCATGCATGTGAGTGCAAGAACAATTCACTAATCAGTGCCGGAACTGTTTAATACACAAATATAGTTTGTATGAAGTACTGACAGTCAGAAGTATTTTTTGCTTCATGAGTGGCAAACCCTTAATTAACTTTATTGGTTTCAGCTGTGACACATGAAAGAGTATTAAAGGAGCAGTTTGAGAAACTGCCTGTTCACTTTTTGATGAGAAGACTTAAACCACTGTCATATTTGTAATCTACCTTATAGCCAACACATTTTACAAATGTTACAACCAAGTGTGAACCTATCATGGTTTGTAGAATACTGTTTTGAAGCCTCAGGTTTGACATTATGCGAGTAGGTAATAACAAGTATATATAGGCCAATATTTATTACACTGAAATATTCAAATTCAAAAGTATCATTTGGTTTCTGGGATATTATATTAGCGAAGAAATATGCCTTTTATGTTGTTATTTTTATGTAGAACATTTTTGAAAAATAGAGTAAAATGTATTAAAGCAAAAATATTTTGAAATCATTTTAAACATTAATTGTACCCCTATACTCCTTAACTAATATGAGGAGGGTGTCCACAAAAGCAAACTGCAGTAGTAAGAGGTCAGAGTGAAAGCAAATATGACACTAGAGCAGAGCCTGAGCTTGAAGTTCAAAACTACTATCTGCCAACATTTGAAAAGCAGACTGTATCTTTTTTGTTGAATAGTACACAAAAGAAATATGAAAGTTACATTGTGAGGGTAACAGAGAGTCAAAAGTTGAAAATATTGTCTTGCAGGGACTTCCAGGGGTCTTCCATGCTGACTCATCCAGTTAACTGTACTTCTTTATACAAATGTTACCAATGTTTTTGAATTACTCAGTTTTTTTCCCACTAAAGCAAATTATTACATTACCTGCCAAAACAACTGACGTATGATGAAAAACAATTCACAATTAATTGATTATCAAAATGGTAGCCAATTCATTTTGGGGCTTCAGGGTTTATATTCTTGTGATGATATAAAGTAAATTTAAGGAAAATTGGTTAGTTGAACAAACTGGAATTATATCACCAATTCTTAAAATACTGCACAAATTTAAGTGCACTCAAAAGTGAGTTATTTCTTCAACAATTTATAAGTTGGGTTTAATTCATGTGAATGAGTGAATTTTTTGGAGGATTAAGTTATGTTAGGAAAAATAGGAAAAACACCATTGTGTGTGTGTGTGTGTGTGTGCGTGTGTGTGTGTGTGAGAGAGAGGAAGCAGGTTGACTGTTTCACCTTCTGAGCAACACATGTAGTGAGTAATTTTTACATTTTTATATAAGTGAATGCTATCACTCTCTGATTGAAGAAGCAGAATAAGAGCAGTAGAATAAAAAATTGTTATGTAATTTTACTGATATGATTTTACTTCATGCACATATCATGCTAACATTTGGAAAGGACAGTTAAAACTGGAGCTTTTACTTTCCACTAAAATGATAACGGAGGGTTTATTTTACATGCTCAGTCAGTGTGACAGAAGTATGGAGCAGCAGATTTAAGAGTTTCTGATTACTGCATTGAAGAATTACCTTTAGTATTTAATACCTAGTATTAAATATGTGTTGGGTACCCCCACTAGGTGTCCCCAAAGCTCTGTAGAGTATCGCAAGGCCTTCTTGATTTTAAGGCGTGCTAGAAAACTTAAAGAATATACACAATAGGCCTATATCTCAGCATTTGGTTCACTTCTGTGAAGAAAAGTAAATGTAAAGTAAATTGAAAAAGTAAAAAGAATATTATTAAGTCTTTATGATTGTTAAATTTACAAAAATGACATAATACAGAGAATCGTATAAAACGTTCCCTGAACAGGAAATAATGAGTTTGCTATTTGGGTTCATAAATTATTTCAGTCACACGGGTCATCAGTTTCACTGATAGAAAAGGCGTCCTTCCGGGACAAAGGTTGGGAACACTGATTTACATAATGTATTTCCTCCGAAAAATACAACAATGTAATGATGTTTAACATGCTAGCTGGTGCAGCACAACATGGTTGTGGCTATGTGCTGGAACCAGTTGGCAACTAAAAACATAAATGATTGCTATTATTAATGTTTAACAATTTCCTGTCAGTAACAAATACAACAACAAGCAACTGTAAGCTAAGGCTGCGGGTTTTGCACAGTGACTGGGGGACAGGAGGAGACACAGAAGCTGACTATTCTTTGCATCTGGGTCTGGACTTTCTACCCTGGCAATTTTTGCAAGCGGGCACATGATACTTGCACCTCATGACTCATGCAGTGGCAGGAAATCCAAATCGAGGTCAGCACATTCACTGGAATCTGTGAATGTCTGTTTTTGAAACCCTGGGGTTAGTTACCAGGAATAACTGTGAGCACATTATGAGAGCCCCTGATGCAGGCAACTTAGTGCAGTTGTAAAAACATTAAAAACATTCAGACTAAAATTATCAACACAATATGAGGAAATAACAGTTTTGACATTATGACATAAAAATGACTGTATTGTGTTGCAGAGATGTCTACTGAAGTTAACATGCTAACTAGCTAGCTTCGGCCTATCCTGTCTTGCAATACCTCTGTGTACCTCAAGAGGCGATAGTCCGATAGCATAGATCTGTCAGCTGGGAGATGTTTGTGAGTGGTGAGATTGCTGCGTTCTCTTAGCTTTTTTATTCTAACAAATTAAAATAAACTCACGTCAAGAAAGGAAATATTCTTTCACCTATTTTCCTTATTAAACAGAAAAATACAACTGTACACATTCTGAATTTAAGACTATTTACCAAACTAAAACTAGCTGAATTGCCTTGTTAACTCATCTTAAAAACTCATTGTTCATTCAACGCACTCTTCTTTCAAACTCGACAGAAACAAAATAAAAATTCCCAAAACCGTCTTGTTCAGTCTTTCCACTGTTCCAACAATCGTTAACTCTGGGTTGATCGAAATAACCCTTCATAACCCTCTGGGCTTAAAAACCTCCTCCTCCTGGGCTAACCCTGCTCCAGAGCTCCGAGCTCCCAGTCCGGGCAGGTTCAGCTAATACACATGCAGTACAGCTAATAGGACAGATAGCTGCACAGCTACCGGCAGCTACAGTTCGCAGCAGTTCGTGGTTACTCTGGTTATATGCTGCCCCCTATTTGTTTGGAGTATTAACTTGACAGGTGGCAAATTCTTACATATTGCACAATTGAGAACAGTTACTGGGACCACTGCAGAAAATTGCAGATGAACATTTAATATCCAAAACCTGACATCACAGACACTACTGCGGACCATACGTGGCCCATCCACATTCCATGTTTCCTCTAGTCTTGTTATGTTGTGCAGGTGTTTCACTGTGGAAACAGGTCTCTACAAAACAAAATGAATGCAACAAAAATAGTTTCTCTCATGGAAGAGCGTTTAAAAATGTGCATGGCTTAGCAGACATAGTCTCTTAAGGGCTGTCCACACCAATAACTATAACTACAGCTGTGTTAGCATCCACACTGATTAACAATAAAGTGTAAACAGTGGTCCCAGTGGGCTGCACACTCCAGCTGTGTTTCTGTCTTTTAGGGAAAAATCCAGAAATCTAGAGGTATAAGCGTCCACAAAGTTATTCAAACAGGAGAGTTCGGAGAATCAACACTCTGTTACGAGAGTTGTCGTCTTCTAAAGACAACTTCTTTCATACTTTGGTAAAAAACAGAACATCATTAAGGACTTCAGAGACCCCATCAGTGCTAAAGACCATTTGACAGCATGTCTCATGTAACATTAGTTTTTTATGTGTGATTTGCAGCCTAATATTAAGTTGTATCCCATAATATGTCATGGTTTTTGTTTTTCTTCAGTTAGGTGGATCAAGGTGAATTAGGTGAAAACAATCAAAACCAGAGGGAAAACAGATAAAGACAGGAAGTGAAGCAAGACAAGACACATGAGCAGGAAAATAACAAAATAAAACAGGCAATAACCAAAGAAAGCCCAAAACCATGACGTAATATTGTTCATCAAATCGATCTAAAAGTGATCCCAACGATATCATTGTAGTTGTGGTGTGGACTCTGCCATCCGCTTGAGTTAGGACGATTTTAAAAACTATATATTTATAGTTATTGCTCTTGTGTGGACAGCCCTAAAAAACAATAAATAAGTCTCATATCTCCCAAAATAACAAACCACTAAACTAGTGGATTTATTTTTATTTTTACATAAATCATATAAACCAAGTGTTAAATAATTACTGTTACAGCTGCTATGATAACACTGTTTAAAGAAAGAAGCTGCATGTCGTGTCTGAGGTGGATGACACTGACTGTAACACAGAATCCTCAGTGAAAAAGACAGATCTACGACCCTGGTTTGCCAAAGGTTTATATCTTGGCTTGCAGTGAAAACACCACACTTTCTACAGTAATTTTGATAACTACAACCATTACTATCATAGTATTAACATAATTATTCAAATCAGACAGTATATTGACAGTGTATGGAACTATTGTTTGGATAGCACTCATTTGGGACAGGTATATATACATGATCAGGCATTGTTCACATCAATTTTTCCAGTAGAATCCAAACAATGCTCAGACGCAGTTCTGATATTAACTTCAGGGGCAGCCAGAAGTTGTTCTGACCCAGTTGCAGTCAGACAGGATAAAGCCCCGATTGTCCTCCTCAGCAGTGCAGAGTCCAGTATGTCCAGGCTCAAGCAGACATGGGTTCATAGGTGTGGAAGTGGATTCCCTTGGAGCAGGTGATCTTCATTACCGCTCCATTCAGACTGGAGTCCACGATCAACCTCATCATGCCCTCTGCTATCAGTGACGGTCTGGAGACAAACAGAGAGGGAAAAGGTTGAGATAACACACACACACACACACACACACACACACACACACACACACACACACACACACACACACACACACAGTCTCTCTAAGTAAGGGCAGTAGGAGGTTTATTACTGTCTTTTTAGGGGGGGGGTCTGCACAGGAAATACATCACTAATTACTGATCTGAGTGTGCGTGTGATCAGGAAGTCATCTGGCCTCAACTTCCTCTTTTACTAAATGCTTCTCTCCGGCTGCTCGTCTCTGAGCTGCACAATTTGAACTTTTAAAGAAAGCTTCCCAGAGCCCTAAACAAACACAGTCTGGTCAGTCCAGTATTAACACATTAATGACTAAGGACTATATAAAGTATGTTAAAGAAAAGCCCTGCAGGTGTGTTAAAAAAGAAAGCAAATGCAAACACAATGTTAAATATCTAGTAAATATCTAAATAATAGCCTATTTACACTGGACCAAACATATTATTGAAACAGAAGTTGACTTGAATCCAATGGTACCAAACTAGAGATACAGCACTTTACAACTCATTTTATCCCATAGGGATACATTATAAAAGGTCTGAACCAAGAAAAAAATTATATATAATTTTTTCTATATTGTTACTTTCCAGAATGTGTGTATTAATATGAGGAAGATCTGATAATGCTAACCTACTGTACTAGAAGTGTCTTCCTGGAAAATGACATTAAGACATTAAGACATTATGACGTTAATGTAACCTGACTGATTTGAAAACTTTCAGTGGATTTGTGCTTAGCTAAACTAGGACTCCAAAGGACCAATGTGTAAGACTCAGTGGCATCTAGCAGTGTAGTTTCAGATTGCAACTCTCTTGCTTCACCCATCCCTTCTAAGTGAACGGAAAATGTTAAATGTCCTATCTAGAGCCAGTGTTTGGTTTCTGGGCTACTGTAGAGACATGGCAGTTCAACATGGCGCACTCCTTGGAAAGGCTCATTCTAAGGTAAAAAAACCCCAGCAATTCCTATATTCAGGTGATTATACACTACTTAAAAACATAGCTATGAATGTTATATTCCATTTCTGCCAATAGATCCTCCTGTTACACACTGGACCTTTAAGCATTGTAAGGAAATGATAAAATTCCACAGTGGACATTAATGGGTTCACAGTTCTGATCAATGCTCACTACTATCTGTAATCAACCACTATAGTGAAGTGATGGAGGGACATCTGATTCTTGCATAGCTGTCCTACTATGTCTCTGCTTTCAGAGCGTCTCCAAATAAACACATGCCAAGTTTCCTGAAAGATGAAGTATCATTCGGCTGCCAAGTCGCTGCTTGAGTGAAATAAGAATGTAATCAGAACAGAAGGAGTGGCTCTGAATATTTTCAAGGACACATATTTTTAACTGCAGTTTGTTTGGAAAGAGCCATTAGTTCACAAACACAGAACATCACCAAATCTGACATCCTAAGTGGAAAGAGCAAAGCACATTAGTAGATACAGCTGAATGTCCTCTGGTTGACACGGCTCTGGCTTTGTTGACCAGTAACTGCAAGTACTAGTGACACATTAATCAATGTAATTATTCCTATTACTTGTATTTACATAACACATTCCACATTGAAAAGCTGTATTCTTACAGCAGTACTCTATAAAACCAGAGTACATGAAGTGAATGTGTGGTTTCTATACTGTTATTAAGTTGACTGGTACACATTTCTAGTCTTCTGACCACAAAAGCACCCATTCACACAGTGATGGCACGTGCAACTGCTCATCAGGGAGGAACTAACCCTTCACACACACTCACACACCAATGATACAAGTGCATGAGAACTTGTGGCCAAATGCAGGATACAACAGACCAATGCTGTTGTATTTCTAGATCTGTAGCTCTCATATACATGTATGTACAGTGAATGTGTAGAGTTTTGTATTGCACTACTGGAATTACTTTAATGTCCTCAACCTGCATTTGAAAGTACATAGTTAAACTAGCCTATTAAGTGTTAAAAAAAAAAATAAAACAAAATGTAAAATGGATTGCACTTATATAGAACCTTTTTAGTCTTCCAACCACTCAAAGCCCTTTACACTACATGCCACATTCACACATTCACACACATTCATACACTGATGACAAAGACCATCACAAACACAATTGATAGAAAAGAAGTTCCTTTAAGGAAAGAGGTGGAGAACCACTGCTATAAGTGTTGTAATGGTCTTGGTTTGATGATTAATAAGAAATAAAATAAATGAATGAATAAATGTATAAGAATAATTCAAAGACAAATGTGATACATAATCTTCATCATCACCTTCTTAGCACAGCGGCACTCTTCTTTTGCAAGCACATTAACACCTTTGCATTGGTTTCACACATTTCTCTCCCCCTCTCACCGAACAAAACAGATCTCACTCTAAAGCGCTATTGGATTAACTGTGTTACACTAAAGGAAAGCATCTATTCACAGCTGATAGAAAGTACTTATTATTATTATATTACAATACTTATAATTCATAATGATGAATTTCTAATGCACCTGTGTGAAACTCCTTTGCACAACTCTTCTATCAGATAGCACCTCAGCATTGTTATTTACAAGCATGGATCATAGAAGCCTGTAGTGTACATGAACATTTATTTCTGAGTTTTGTTTTTTAAAAAAAAAAGGTTCTTGAAGAAAGAATGTGGTTCAAAAGCAGTTGTAGAGTGTAGAGGTTGCTTTTACTTCACTACATTTGTCTCAAGGCTACACATGAACACGTGGCTTTTGGGCCACATGTGGTGGACAGAAACAGGAAACCAAATGAGCAACATGACTTACAGAGTGGTTAACAAACATTTGCAAGCAGCTTCCTAATTTAACAACAAACTGCTCCTACAGTTGCAGGGTGCTGTTAAAGATACAGCTTAGGTTTCAAGATGTGAACTATTTGACAGCTGTTGAACTAGAAAATGCATTCCCTGCAGAAAATGCATGTGAATGGTTCTATGGTGAAGAGAGAATGCAGTACAAAAGCTGGACCATAATGAATGTTTGAGTGTGTCTAGTCTAGATGGATAATGAACAGTTCCTGGGCACAGAAAGACCTGCACACAAGAATAAAATGAATAGTAGTACAATAGTGCAATTTTATAATACAGTAACAAACAAACAATCTACAGTACAATCTACAGTACAATCTACAGTACAATCTACAGTTCAATCTACAGTACAATCTACAGTACAATCTACAGTACAATCTACAGTACAATCTACAGTACAATCTACGGTACAATCTACAGTACAATCTACAGTACAATCTACAGTTCAATCTACAGTACAATCTACTGTACAATCTACGGTACAATCTACAGTACAATCTACAGTTCAATCTACAGTACAATCTACTGTACAATCTACGGTACAATCTATAGTTCAATCTACAGTTCAATCTACAGTACAATCTTAAAATCAATTCTAGCTATCAAGTAATCAATAAGAAGACTGATTTAAAGACCATAAATGACTCAAAAGTCCAATTCAAACCGTTGTTCTCTCAGTAAAAAACATGAATGAATGAAGTGTACAGTAATGTCCAGTCCACTATGTAACAATACATTCACAGTGAAACTAGTTACGTGTGTGTGAGTAAACTTACTGTAAAACTCCAAACTTGCTCATGCTGCGTTTGAAATCGTCCTTGAACTTGACAAACTTGCCCATGTTGTCCTCGTGCTCCACTGAGTGCAGTAGAGGAGTGTCGACGAAGGCCGGACACAGGACGTTGATGCGAACGCCGTAGTTGCCCAGAGAGGATGCGTCCTGCGAGAACAGGTACAGTGAGTGTTGAAAAGGATTTCATTTCATCCATTCTGCAAAAGCTCAAGATGACTTTTTACACCGTCTCATTCACTGTGCGTGCCTTACCGCCATAGCTCTAGTGAAGCCGATGACTCCGTGTTTAGTAGCAGTGTAGACAGGCTGATGAGGAGAATGCAAGAAGGCTGAAGAACAAGAGGAGACAAACACGTTACCAACGGCACCGCAGAGCAAAGATTAATCAGTAAACAAGTCATGTTACTGTGGTGTAGCTCCTTCGTAACCTAACATTAGCATTTTACTTCTGGCGAATCAAAAATCCTAAAAGTAATGTTCATTTATGAAGATTATTAAAAGTTTATTTTCTGCAACAATCCAAAATATTGAAATACTAAGTCAATATTTTGAGAATGTTTATCATTATAATGACTTACAGAATCTTTTTTCCCCCTGTCACATGGGTAGGAATGGGCTTCCATAGTATACACACCCAGTCATATTTAGAAGAGGACTGAAACAAAAATATGCTAATTCACATTTGCATGAACACATTTCCCCAGAAAACGATATACTGACACAGACTTGTTCGTGTTCAGACAAGTCTGTGTCAGACACACACACACACACACACACACACACACACACACACACACACACACACACACACACACACACACTGATGTTATCAAGAGTGAAATAAGTGAAAACTGATGACCATATGTTTGCTGTTACTGGAGGCTGAACTGTTCTAGAGCTCCAAGATGATGTGTCCGACTACAAGAACATCCTCTGAAATCTTACAACAACACACAGCTCTAAAGTAAGCATATACAAATGTAAAAGATCCTCAGATGACCTTATTTTAAACAATGCCTATATTGAAATTCCACGAAAACACACAGCAGCAAAGTTCTTGTAAACTTAGTGGAATATTTAGCAGAATCCAGTTCTAACTGAAACCTATTAGAAAAAAACATTCCTGCTTTATTCTTAATGTGCTGCACAAAGGTCACCTTTAGTGCATCACCTGTATGTCATGACTAACTGAAACACTATGCACATTACAGTAAGAATGCACTGACAGTAGCAAATTCTTTAGAGTGAAATATGGGACAGAGCTCTGCCCCAGGCTTTGTTGCCTGTAAGTAATTACATAATCTGTTGGTAAGAGTTGACATAACAGCTACTACCTGTGCACAGTTTCAGGAAACACTATATCTATTGGAGAAGAAAAAGGTTAGAAAAGGAAATAAACAGAGGAAACTGTTCTGGTGAATGTGATTTAATGCATTGTTGGGGTTGGGGTTCGGGGAGTTTTCCGAAATAACTCATATTTTGGCCAAACATGTAGAATTCATATATCTGTTGGGTGGAGCTCTGATTTATGTGGTCTTCTTGATTTAATTTGCATGTAATTAAATAAATAATTCATCCTTTCTTTATCCAGCTGTCTGGACTTCTGTTGGAACAATATTGGATATTTTGTATAACTTAGATCCATAGCTATATATAGATTTTGAAAAATGATTCTAATGTTTCAATTCAATTCAATTCAATTCAATTTTATTTGTATAGCGCCAATTCATAACAGAAGTTATCTCAGGACACTTTTCAAATAGAGCAGGTCTAGATCGAACTCTTTAAAACATTATTTACAGAGACCCAACAGTACCACCATGAGCAAGCACTTGGCGACAAGGGCAAGGAAAAACTGCCTGTTAAAAGGCAGAAACCTAGGATAGATCCTTCGGCTCTAGGTGGGTGGTCGTCTGTCTCGACCAGTTGGGGTGAGAGAGAGAGAGAGAGAGCGAGAGACAGAGAGAGAGAGAGCGGGAGACAGACAGACAGACAGGTGCACAGCAACAACAGTATTGGCAATGGCAATCTAGCAGGACCATGGCAGGAGGCTCCACCAGGGTCGACAAGAACCTTTTTCCTGAAGTTTCCTGAACCTTACAATCAATATTATATAAAAAAAACTTCCCTCTCACCCTCTTGGGGTGGTATCTGTGTCATCCTCAAGCTCGGGTCCTCTACCAGAGGCCTGGGAGTTTGAGGGTTCTGCAAAGTATCTTAGCTGTTCCTAGGACTGTGCTCTTCTGGACTGAGGCTTCTGATGTTGTTCCTGGGATCTGTTGGAGCCACTCCCCCAGTTTGGGGGTCACTGCCCCGAGTGATCCTACTACCACGGGGACCATGCTCACCTTGACCTTCCACATCTGCTCCAGCTGTTCTTTCAACCCTTGGTACTTTTCAACCTTTTCATGTTCCTTCTTTCTGATGTTGGCGTCTGCTGGTATGGCCACATCTATCACCACCGCTTTCTTCCGCTCCTTGTCTACCACCACTATGTCTGGTTGGTTGGCCAGGACCTGTTTGTCAGTCTGGAAGCTGAAGTCCCACAGCACCTTGGCCCTGTTGTTCTCAGCCACCTTCTGTGGTGTGGCCCATTGGGATTTGGGTACTTCTATTCCATACTGGGTACAGATGTTCCTGTACACTATTCCAGTCACTTGGTTGTGTCTCTCCATGTACGCTGAACTGGCTAGCATCTTACACGCTGCTACTATGTGCTGGACTGTCTCAGGGGCATCTTTGCATAGTCTGCACCTTGGGTCAGATCTACTCTTGTAGATCTTGGCCTCTATGGCTCTTGTACCTAGGGCCTGTTCTTGTGCTGCCATGATCAGTGCCTCTGTGCTGTCTCTGAGTCCAGCCTTTTCCAGCCATTGGTAGGTCTTCTCGATATCAGCCACTTCTTCAATTTGGCGGTGGTACATGCCATGTAGGGGCTTGTCCCTCCAGGTTGTCTGCTCCTCTTCCTCTGCACTCTCATCGGGTTTCTGTTGCCTGAGACATTTACTTAGCAGTTCATCCTTGGTGGCCATTTTTCTGATGTACTCTTGGATTTTTGATGTTTCATCCTGGATAGTGGCCTTGATGCTCACTAGTCCTCGGCCTCCCTCTTTCCGCTTAGCGTACAGTCTCAGGGTGCTGGATTTGGGGTGAAACCCTCCATGCATGGTGAGGAGCTTTCTTGTCTTGATATCTGTGGCTTCTATCTCCTCCTTTGACCAGCTTATGATCCCAGCAGGGTATCTGATGACTGGTAGTGCGTACATGTTGATGGCTTGGATCTTGTTCCTGCCATTCAGCTGACTTTTCAGGACCCTTACTCTCTGGAGGTATTTGGTTGTGGTTGACTTCCTTGCGGCTTCCTCATGGTTTCCATTAGCCTGTGGGATACCAAGGTACTTGTAGCTGTCTTGGATATCACCTATGTTGCCCTCTGGTAGGTCAACCCCTTCAGTTCTGATCATCTTGCCTCTCTTTGAGACCATCCGGCCGCACTTGTCCAATCCGAATGACATCCCTATGTCGTTGCTGTAGATCCTGGTGGTGTGGATCAGCGAGTCGATTTCTCGCTCATTCCTGGCATACAGCTTGATGTCATCCATGTAGAGCAGGTGGCTAATTGTTGCTCCACTTCGGAATTGGTACCCATAACGTAATATATATATATATATATATATATACTACTACATCGTGACACACAGAACACACTGACTCTGCTTAGGTTTTTTACCTCTTCCAGCTCTTTGATTTAGTTACACAACCCATAAACTCCACTCTCATCAACTGCCTTTCCATCAGTTTTCTGTGAAAAACCACTGACGTATGTGCTTCAGGGTCTGTGAAGGTAAGCCAAGGCAAACGTGTCTTAAACTTGTTTTCTTTCTAACGACCAGCAGGGGGCAGCTCCATTGGCTGGAAAAAAGAAGTCTGATAGTATTGAGTCATGTGCCGAAAGGACCAGACTTCACACTTTTCCTAATGACTTTATGGTCTCACTCTTTAGTTTCAGTCTTCTTCCATTCAGCATGATGTTCATTTAGTAAATGATGGTCCCATTTAGAGTAAAACAGACCATAAAGCAGGGTATGCCTGAGTCTTTCCAGCTCACTGCACAGAACTCATCAAACTGTCGAACCAGGCAGTTCTGATCAGATATTAATCAATATTCTGTTACTGTGTTGACTATTTCTCTCTTAAAATCATTTCAGAAACATATTTTAGTGTACTGTTTATCTGGAATACAAGAGTGTGTGTGACCTGCTACAAGTCAAAACTAGACAGTGAGCACAGCACCATTCCTGGCTCCAGAAAACCAACTTGGTAATGGTCATAATACCAAACTCAAGGCTTCTAAACGGTACTCCACAAAAAACGAATGTTGTGAAAAACACACGCTACCTGCCCAGCACTAAATGACAGATAAATTTAGCAACTAACTAGTGAACGTAATGAAACATTTAGCTAACAAGCCAAACAATTTTCCTCTAGAGGTGATGGAGATCAAAACAGAGGTAACAGGAGAGTGATTATTGGAATACATCCCACAGGTGGTCTGTGGTGCAAAAAAAATGCTTCAAGATCATCCCTGTCCCCAAAAAATCAAGGACTACAGGACTCAATGGCTACAGATCTCTCATCCTGACCTCTGTGGTAATGATGTAGTTTGAGCAGCTTGTGCTGTAGACCCCCATTACTTTGATTCTAGCTCCCTCAGGAAAACTTAAAAAGCAAGAAAAGGGAAAAATTATACTGGTGGTAATGATACTTGGCGAATAGCAGCAAAGAGTCACGACAATACAATGATGCTTTGTGTTTCTCTGGTATAACCAAACAGGAACAAGCTAACAGCTCACTCATCCAGTATGTGTGGTTGATTGATTGCTTGGATTAAGAACAGCATGTTATCCTTTTATGAGGAGAAAAAACCTAGTGACATTTTCACTAATCCTTTTAATTAACTGCTTCCAGTCCCATCAAAAGCTTGCGTGGTCTTTAAAGTTGTGTAATGTATACATAATGTGGTCTGGTGCTTCCTTAGAACAACTTATTCCTGCAGGGTTTTTGTTTGAGTTTAGACAAAGGTTACAGCTTTTACAGACCTGGCCTGGGAAGTATTGGCCCATCAGGACTATATAAAACCATAAAAGAGCAGGAACTACCTTGTAAAACGTGTGTCTGTGTGTGTGTGTGTGAGTGAGTGAGGGTGTGGGTTTGTAGAGAGCAAAACACAGATGAACATTTTTGGAGTATGAACTTTTCCATGACGGAGACAGAGGTACAGAATGATCCAGATCAACAGTTTCTGTTCTAGTGGATGTCTGCCAACCTTGTCTCATGTATTTCCTCCAATAACATGCACTCAAGGAAGACAGGAACTGTTTTCATAAGCCTGGCTTCCAGAGACTTGGAGAAATTCATCATCCGTGACATTTTGACATAAATATGTGTGTCCTTTAGAAAGGAGTGGTCCGTAAGACATGTGCTTAAAACTAGGACTGAAGTGTCACTGGTCTCTGCACACATTTATATCTTGCAAATTTATTGCACAAATCAAATTAAACAAAGGTAAATGATTAACTTTTCTTTAATCTGTAATTTGAGACTTTTCAAATTCAGTGCAATGTGCTCTCATCTCCTGGCTCAGAGGTCGCAGACTGTAGCATTACATAATACACATTTCAGAACAACCATTCATATTGACAACGTAAAATAGCAGTATGATATTTTGAAATAGCAGTGAAATTTTTCATAAACTAAACCTTTATGTTCCTTCATTCTCGTCGGTGTTTACAATCCACCGTTGGCCAACGTGCAGGATGCAGAGCGCATGCTCGCTGATCAGATACTATGTGTGGAGCGAACAAGCCTGTTCTCTATTCCTGCATACAGGTAAAAATTAAAGCTCTGTAAACTTGGTGTGAGGACAACAAAGAAGTGGAACAGTGAAGCTGTGGAGGGTCTTTGAGCGTGCTTGGCTGTACTGACTGTTATGTTAGCAACAGTTTCTGTGAGGAGGGGTATGTAACATCATGGCCCAGTTGACAAACCCTGGTTCACAGCTAACTGAGAATCAAAATACAGGTTTAACATGGTGGTAAGAGATGCTACGTGAACTCTGAGAAACTTCAACACAAGTTCTCAGCAATTGACTCTGGATCTGTCTGAAAGGGTCAACAGATCACCAACTATAAACCTAAAGCCCAGCCACTCCACTACTGACCTGGTCAATGATCTGAATGTGATTACTGTCAAACTGAAAGACAAAGGCATGGGCCTCTCCACAGCTGTCAACCTCAGAGGGCCCTACCACAATGAAGACTATCCTGGAGAAAGACTGAAGAGGGAGAAGCAACAGACTGTTCAAGAGACAGAACCCGTGAAGAGCAGCAGAAGAGCTGTCTCTCCTTCCAGCCTGAAGCACTGTGCTGATCAGCTATCTCTGGTCTTTATCTTTAACAACTGACTGGAGACATGCCACATACTACCATAGCACTCAATGGCTACAGATCTCCCGCTCTGACCTCTGTGGTAATGATGTAATTTGAGCAGCTTGTGCTGTCTCACCTCAAAACCAGTTTGGCTACAGAGCTAGCAGTGGACAATGCAGTAAACACAGCCTCCCACTTGATCCTCCAGCACCCGGACTGCTCAGGAACCTATCCAGGATGCTGTTTGTGGATTTTACTCTGCCTTTAACACCATCATCCCAGGCTCTACCACAGAAACAAGATCTCTCATCTGGGGATGCTTGACTCCACCTGCAGGTGGATCACTGACTTCCTGTCTGACAGGAGGCCGCACCACCATCTCTCGTGGGGAAAAGTTCGCCTACAGATTGACCATCGGGTGACCTGGTGTGGACAGAACACCTTAGAGCTTAATGCTCTACAGACAGTGGAGATGATTGTGGATTTCAAGAAGAACCCAGTCCCACCCACCTCCCAGTTAACACTGGAGTCCTTCAGCTTCACCCAGGACCTCAAGTGGGAGCATCAGTTTCACCACCAAAAAAGCTCAGCAGAGGATTTACTTCCAAACCAACCCTTTAAAATCGGTGATGGTGCACTTCTACACTGCCATCACTGAGTCCATCCTCACCTCCCCATCACCATATGCTATGCTGCTGCCTCTCCCGAAGAAAAGGGGAGACTGCAGTGAATCATTTGCTGTTGATAAGGTGTGTGTGTGTGTGTGTGTGTGTGTGTGTGTGTGTGTGTATGTGTGTGTGTGTGTGTGTGTGTGTGTGTGTGTGTGTGTGTGTGTGTGTGTATGTGTTACCTGCCATAGAGGACACATTGATAATGATGCCGCCTTCTTTGCCGTACTCTTTACTCATGTGTTCCAGTGCCAAGTAGGTCCCTTTAATTACAGAGGTCTGTATAGATAAGGAGACAACACAGGCAAAAGAAAAAAAACAAAAGGCAAATTCAGCATAAGTGAGCAGGAAGTGAAACCAAAAGGAAAGAATGTTTGAACCTACTGATAAGTGGAGGTGTTGATACAGATGTCCTCTTTGCAGTCAGTTTTCACTGAAGATTTTACTTACCTAATTATATAGAAACCAAATCCCCTCAGTGATAATGAGATAATATGTATGTGTTTAATGGACTTCCGTAAAATATATGCTGTGCCATAATGAAATGAACCAGTTTTTAAAATAATTTGTCGTTTTCCCCCAATTCCAGCAAATGATAACAAACAGATGATGAAATGCATACAGTATATCACAAGGGTAAAGGTATAAAACTCAATGTTGCAATGTTCATTATGCTGCACAAAGTGTTGGAAAGAACACACAACATACAGCACTACATATTTTGCTATTGTTAGAGCTTTGCTGAAGCCAAACAAACTTTGACCGCTAAATTCTTGTTTACTTGGGACCCTGAATGTACTCAGTAAATCTCATGTTAACCTTTAGATTTAGATTTCTACTCTGGAGAAGTACAAAGTTTGGGCTGTTGCTGATAGGGCTAAGTTTAAGGCTAGGTCCTATGGGGATCTTGAATCTCCACAAAATATTTCATAGCAATTTGGCCAGTTGATGTTGTGATATCCTGCTCCGACCAACTGACACCACCATCCTAAGGCTCTGTCATTAGCATTAATGGTTATTACATCCATTATTACATTATAACATGGTGCAAGACAGCTCAGGTAAATAAAAGCCCAATATTTTTGCTATATTTATTGCAATAAGCAGCTAGCTTTGGAAAAAAAGAAATGTTTCTAGAAAATAACGTAGAAGAGTCTAGTAAAAGGAATGTTGGGAAAGTGCATTAAGTGCATGTCGGTTTATCTGAATGAGTGGGATTAAACTATGCATAGCATTACCAAGAGATGGCATATCAGATGAAAAAGATAGTGCCCTGAGGTACCCACAGCTAACATCACTCTAGTGCATCACTCCAGTGCTGTCTAGGGTGCTTTTCCAGTGATAAAGTGCCCTCTGGGGTTCCCTTGTATGCCCCTGCCCCTCACACAGCTATCACTGTTCCCACACCAGCAGTGTATGTAACAAGGTCTGGTCACATTGTACTGAAAACAAGCCTGTTTCTCTTGTGACATGATGCTCAGTAATTCATTTGGGATTAGCTTTGATTTACAAAACAATGCTCTGCTGATGCAACTATGACAGGAAAGGAAGGACTGTAAAGGAGTAATTTCAGTTAAAAATGTTGGTATCAAATGATATGATATGGTCTTAAATCTACTGTCCATTTACTGTTGTTCACTTCTCTTCATTACGTTCTCTGAATGGATGTCATTGCCGTTCTCATTTTATGGCATGGCTGCATGCAGGACAACCATCTGTACAGCAGCTCAGGACTCAAGAGTCTAACACCCTAAAGACAGGTACTGTATCTGAGCAGCTGAAGAACTGTGTCAACTCATGTGAACTCTGCTTTTTTGCCTTTTGAGTGATGGGGTTATGAGTATAAATTGGGAGGCTGTCCATGTTTTTCCAGTGCTGGAAGTTGAGCTGCATGGTGAGATTCTACTTAGGCCTGCTGATGTAATGGAGGAGTCTGAAAAGCCTCGAGAGGGGATGTTGCACTCTGGGGTCTTTTAGGGACAATGAGGCCTCCAGTTTGACAGCAGAAGCATTAAGGATATCAGTAAAGCGTTTTTTCAACCACCACAGCGGCAGTGTTGCTAGAACTGGTTGAAAAGGTCATATAAGATATCGCCAGCTCCACATAATGTTATTTCAGCAGTAGAGTTTAAACCCAGCAGCCTCCAGACAAAAGAAATTGCATTTACCTGAGGGAACTGCTTATGCACATGAATGCAACCGGACACACTGAAATCTCATCTTAAAAATAAAGCTGTGTCTTTCCTTCATATTGGCTCATTTATGGTATATTGTTTTCTAAGGCTTATTAAACCAGTTACATTTCTGCATGCATACAAAGTCATAATTTTGTGTAAAAGTCTTGTGTACTCACAATTAGTAACGTGGTGTTTTTTCTTATTCTTTTTGGATACTTGCATGGTTGCAAGGCTACAATTTATCAATTAAATAAATATTCTGCTGGACAAGAAATTACATTAAGTTAATGTAATATATTGTAACCACCAAAAATGTATATATCATAGTATTTTAGTATTAGAAATAGCAATAACTTATATTCTACTGTTGCTACTCATCAGTGAGTTTTTGGTAATTTGATATTATCATAATATAATAGCTGCAGTACGTGGCTTTTAGAAAAATAACTTTCACTATATCCTGGCAGTAGCACATGAGACAGATAAAAATCAGGTTCCTCTGACTCCTCTTAGTGCTCCAAATGGCATTTGTGAGAATCCACCGGGTCTGAATGAAAACAACCAATCAGACCCGAGAAAGATAGTTGATTGCTGAGTCCTGTTTTCGGGTCATCAAATACCAACATTTTGTGTTGGCGACTTGAAGACTGTTGATTGTTGAGTCTCCTAAGAATGAGACTCAACACACTAGGAGGAGCCAGAGAAACCAGATTATCTGTCTCATGACAAAGTTTCACCAAATATGACCTCTGCAGCTTAGTAGTAGTGTTTGATTTGTATATCAGAGTATCCTCCTGGGTTTAGTGCACTTATTTCGTTTGTGCATCCTGTCCAGAGCTTCTAAGAATTAGAAAAAAAAAGATCTGATTACCAGTTGTCTGTCTGACAGTAATGTAGTAGTCAAAGCTGATGACTGTCAGCAAAATAGTCATAACGGAAGAGTGCAAAGATAACATTGTAGTTCTGCCTTATCGGCCAATTACACCCTTGCTGTCAAACTAGAGACCTGCATGTTTATCATTATCTTCTAGCAGACTGGGCTGAGGGATTATTATCATTCAGTCATATCAGATTTTGTATGAACTACTGGCAACACTCCCTCAGGTTTCTACTGGTTGGCCTATGTTTCAAATAGAAATTGATGAAAATGTAAATGCACTGGCTGCTCTATTTCTTTCAAACACAAGAAAACTTGTGGTCACTTTGAAACCACAATGGGTCAAGTTTCAAATGAGATCGTAGAAGGATCCGTCTGAAGTGAATTTCTTATTGCCTTAGTAGCTGTTGGTTAATGTCCTAGTGGGACAGGAAAACAATGGCTCCATTGGCAGAAAGTGATTTTGTCACTGATTATATACAGAAGCACTTACTGACTTAGATCTGATTTAGGCCAGAAGGTTGTGTTTCCAGGCATTTTTGTAACATTGAGAAACCAACTTAAAAGTTTAAGTCAGTCTATATACTGTATGTATGAAGTCTTATTGTTCTTTAAACAAAAAATTTAAATGTAAGCGTGGAAATCACTCTAAACACTAAGTAAATCTACACGAGTGATGTTTTCTGATAGTGTCATCATTCATCAGATGAGAAACACACAGGATAAAACCTTTTCCAATAAGACATTCATTCATTTATTGGGTGAAAAGATTGGACCTTTAAAGTTGGACAGCTTACTGTGCTAACTGTTAGCTAACAGTGAACAGCACAACTTAAATTAGAATATTCAGCAACACAAAAAGTTTGGCCTCCCCAGTCTCACTCCACTTCCTTTCTAACTGATGTCTGTCATCAGGAGCGGAGGTCACAGACACAAAAATGTGATGATTTGGATTTTGAACACCTTGCCAAAGGACTGCAGTTGAAAATTAGCTTGCTGGCTAACATTGTCACATTAATGAACTAATCTTTCTGGCAAACACACACATACATACACTGGCCTGCAGTGCGTCTTACATCTACCATTTCTGTCTCCATCTGCATAAGGCTACTACTGATCCTGGCCCTGTGTGTGGCCCTGCTGTTGCAGCTTTTATTGACTGCGCGGTTCGAACTGGCTGTGGCAAAGCAACTGATGATTCACTTCTATTATAAAGATATGTAAGCACTGTTTTCAAGTCTCACAAAGTACATGTACTAAGTGCTACCTGGTCATGTTGTTACTTGTGTGTTGTGACCTGTGATCCCATCTGGATCACATTCCAACCAACTTCTTCAAAAGTGTTTTGACTGCCGGTCTGCTTAGAGCTTTCAACCATTCTTGGCATTCCATGTCATGTAGACTCAACGAGGTTCAGCAAATCTCTAACCTGCTGTTCCTCAGCACTGTTCTGGAGGAAGGTGAACGATCTCCAAATTAACAGTACTTTAAAAAACTACAACCCCTCTCTATTCCTTGCTTTTTCAGTGCTTCAGAGTAGCAATATTTTACACTGGTTTCCTCATGACGTCCTACTTCTAAAGAAACATCAGTTACAGTGAGTTAAATTGATTTTAGTTAAGGAATGAACATTTAATTTAGAGTACCACATGGCTAAATAATGTGTCCACTACTTTAATTAATCTTAACAACTAGGCATCCCCATCTGCAAGTAATCTGAAATATTGATTTCCTTAACATGTGGATGACACCTCCATAAACTTAATTCTGATATATTTAACCCTATGAAAGTGCATCTTTCACTAACTAACTAATACATCTAAAGAACATTATACGGGTCAGACATTTTCTTTTCTTGCCAAGATACAGAAGAGTATTGACCACTGAAATGTATTCAGGCATACAAATGGAGCTAAGCCTGCGAGCTAGTTCAGGCAGTCAACTCGAGCTGCGCTGCTATACACACATGACATGCCTCACTCCATAATCACTAACCAAGCGCACCCTTCCAATCTGGCGCTCTATTTAAACTGCACAATTTCCCAGCTCTCCCTCTGCTCTGTCAATGCCGCTGTTGCCCTGCATCTGTATTGCTGCTGCTGCGCTGTAATCCCCACCATCACCCCAGCATCCACCTGTAGGCTCTGACTGGGGGTTAAGGTATTTGGGGTCGGAGCCCAGATGCCAAAATGTTATGCTGCTGGAATAAACATTTCAAACATGACGTGAGAGTGTTAGTAATTTAAGTCATTATTGTTTTGTTGGCATATTTTGGCAGACAGGCACATTCTTGCTTTCAGTAAGCAGATGAGACAGGCTAACAGTCAGGTAAACATGTCCACTTCCTGAGGGGGGTACGAGATATTAATGGATAGCTTATAAGTACACGCCACTTTTCAGGACATTTCAGGATATAGTGAAAGAAATTTATAAAAGTTACCTACTACAGACATTAGCGTGTTATTCATACACCAGTTGGTGAGACCAGGCAGGAGGGGGATGTGGTCTTGAGGGTCACTGAGAGCCTCATATGAAGTAGATACTGGTACATGTGCAAGCAGTCCTTCCTCCCACATATGCAATACATAAGTCAGGCAGTCACCGATAGTGGGGGCTGTATTTTGTACAGATTGAAAAGCTCAGTAATCAGAAATGTGTGATTAGTTTGGGCTGTGTAAACTTGACCTGACTGAAAGTGTTGTCATCTTACCAGGTTGACTTGTATGGTCTTCTCCCAGTTCTTTTCATTGTTGATGCCGGCGTTGTTGATAACGATGTCCAGGCGACCAAACTTGTCCACAGTGCTCTGGAATGCATCTATTCAACAGAAACAAAAAGCCAGCAGTGACTGACTGTATACACTAACACAGTATCTTATACAGTAAGAGCTCAATGAGGATGGCTTTCTTCCAGCTTCAGCTCACTCAGTGACAACTCCAAATCAGAGCAGAAATACTACTCTCCACTGTTTTGCATTGATTATGACTGTGTAAGGATCATCAGGAAAAAGGGACACAGGGAGGGGGTAGAGTTGGCACATAGTGTCTGCCATGACAGAAACTCATTGCCATCATGAAAGCACACTGTTTATACAAGCACAGTCATTTACTCAATTACAGTGTACTCTGGAGCACTGAGCCACTCCTTCATCCACAGCTGATTCTCCAAACACACCATACTGAGTATCCTGGTTATGGGATTTTGTAGTGTCCTAGTTATGTTTTGCACACAAATAATAATAATAACAATTAATATTATTATTATTTAACTTATTTTGTCATATTCACTGAAACTTTCCCTATATCCTGACAGTAGAACATGAGACAGATAATCTGTGAAACAATCAGGTTCCTCTGGCTCCTCCTAGTGCTCCTTATGGTTTTTGTAAGAATCCACCGGGCCTGAACAAAAACAACCGAGGACCGAGGACTGATTTTTTTCACAGATTATCTGTCTCATGTACTACTGTCAGGATATAGTTAAAGTTTCAACAAATGTTAAGATGTAAAGACCCTTCCCCAAAATGAAACTGTAAATCTATCCATGATTAGCCCTCTCTAGGGACGGCCTGTTGAGCTCTCAACTCAGCTCACATACTACAGTGTAGTGTTAAGGACTGAAGGTAATAGCCCATATACTTGAACAATGTTTATACCTATAATAAATATAATAATTCAATGTTTTATGTGAATGTTAACTCATGTTGTTTGTTTGTATCGTTTTAAATTTGATTTTACAATAAAAAAAGGAAAATGTTTGTGGCAAGAAAGAAAATCTCACTTGAAATTCTCGATGAAAGCATTTGTGTGTTTTTCCGTTGCTCTCTAACAATGAGAAGCCACTCCTCCCCCACCAGAGTGTAAGCCCTCATGTTTTGCTTCCTTGTGTATGTTGCCAAACTGACTGCAGTCATGCTGATGGAACATCTGCAGAGAGACAGTGTGAATAAGGGGACATGCATTGGGCTCTCACACAATGAGCCTACTGCAAGTTCTCCCCATGTGAGCAGACAGATGTGGTTGGATAAGCAGCTGAAGGCAGAAACCTGAGATGGTAAAACCTGCATGTGTCATCACCTGCCGAATTCCACACAGGGACACCGTACAATTAGAAACAAACGAACCTGCTCTTAATAGACTCATCTGCGCATGCACACGCACAAGTGTCAGGAAGTACTAATACTCCGTTATTGTACTTAAGTGGCTTTTCAGGTATCCCTACTTTATTTGAGCATTTATTTTTATGACAACTTTTGATTAATCCTCCACATTTTTACACAAATATCTGTGTTTCTTTCAGTTTCCTTTCTTTAGTTTGAATGCATTTGAGAGGAATTGTTAATTATTATATATTTTTGCATCAAGACTAGTGCATACCACGCGTGACAGACAAAACACGGCAAAAATGACAAAAACAAAGTAAAAGACCTCCAATGGATGAAACAGACAATAGAGGGAGTTATGACCCAATTTAAAGTTTCAGTCAACTTTGTACAGAAACAGCCGGTAGAAATGTCCTTCAGAGAAAGTGAGAGAGCACTTTTTACCAATACGTACTTACTATTAATGCTTCTTAATGCTTTGAGAACTTCAGAGCCTGCACACTGCAATAAAATAGTTTAACTCAAATTGTTTGAGGAAACTGATTGCCTTAAACCGTTTAAGTTTATCAACTGTTTATCAACAAAATATTTGATTTGAGTAGAAATAATTAAAAATTTGTTAAAGTACCTTGAGTAAATTAAGTTAATTGTACCAATTCCATTTAAACTAGTAAGCATATTAATCTGATATGCAGTATTTTTCCAAACGTATTTAAAATGTGTTAACAGAATGTATCTGAATAACTAACTAATAATAACTAACTTAAATCCATCTTCTTTATACAAATGATACCACTTACGTTGAATTTACTCACTTTTCTTCAACTAAAGCAGCTGATAAAAACAATGTACAATTAAGTGATTATCCAAATGGTCGAATCACAAATCGCAAAACACTGTGTGTCAACTTAAAGAAAACGAGTCATGTAAGTGCACTCAAAACAATGGAGTTATTCAAGAGTTCATTTGAGGTCAAGTTGAGGTTAATTCACAGAAATGAGGTACTCAAAAATGTTTGTTTTTTTTAAAAACTTATTAAAGAAACATTTTCTTAAAGTAAGTTTTTTGGTCACTTTATTGAGCTGAATTTAAGAATGTTTTACTTTAATTAGAATATTAATAAATAAATCTTACAATAAGACACAATTTCTTCAAACCACATAATAAAAATAAATGACTTTTTCGTAACTGAAGGCACCAGAAGAACAAAGCTTTTTTACTTTCTTGAGATTCCTTTTTTCCAGTGTACTTTTTCACTTTTACTTGAGTAAAGAAGTTGAATATGTCTACCTCCGCCACCTTTGCAAAACACACATGCAAAAATGCACTGTGCGTGCTTGCAGAGAAACATACAAACCTATAAACACAATGAATTTCTTCTTATCACACACACAAACCCACACACATGCACACATATGCACATGCACAGACTGTCATTGGCTCTGCTGCAGGCTCACGCTGTGTCTACATCAACTGTAGTACTATCACACGGTTAGGAGTAACACCAAACAGCATTCCACAGCCGTTAGCCTGCAGGGATTTACTTTTTCACTGTCAGACAATGAATCCTTGTTCCTCTCCCTCGCTCCCTCGCTCCCTCAAAGACACACTTATTCATATACACAGACTTTAATTCACTTCTTCTTCTGTTTCTCACCCTGACACGCCCACACACACACACACACACACACACACACACACACACACACACACACACACACACACACACACACACACACACACAGCAGCAGCACTAACAGGTCTGCAGAAAAAGAGAACGTGAGAAAGTGCACAGCAGTTCATGGAGCAGTAAGCAATCGAGTTGAACCAATAATTGAAATACTGTAAAATAAATGCTCATGTGGCTGCAAAGCAAGACTAGAAAAACTTTAGCTGGACCACGGGTACAACCTGTTGGTATGACACACTGGAGTGACCAGGGCTCGCTGTTTCCACACACATATTGTGTTTGACTGAACCCGCTCTTTCACACCCGCTGAACCAACTCAGAGCGCAACAGCTCTTTCCAGGAAAAAGTTTCTAATGCGTGCCAAAAATAGTCCCTCACTCTTAGGGTCTTTCTGAAGTCACTTCCTCATTCATCACAAGGAAGTTTAGAAAGGTTGAGCAAAGTGCAACCCTCCTGTGAACACTCATATTCCACAGGCTACATGAGGAGTCATAATAAGAGGATTACACACCACAACACACTGAATGCACTGAGGAAATCTTATCTAAGTTTTCATATTGTGTCATTCAACAAGTAGTGAGTGATGTTGTTATCTCTGCGCTCATTGTCCTACAGACAGCATTACCTCTCAGTGCGTCTCCATTTGACACATCACAGGGAATAAAGGTGCAGTTGCCCTCTCCAAACTCGGCGTCCAGCTGCACCTTGCATTCTTCGCCACAGGTCTTGTTGAGGTCGACCACTGCCACCTGAACCACAGAACTCTGTTAGTGAGCTGGACCTTTTAAATTCACACACACACAGACACACACACACACGGACACAGACACAGGCAGAGCGGGAGGAAGTTTCTGTCCATCTCTGCAGAAGCTAGTACTAATATTTTGGTTTCAGTGTTATCATCTCACTAGTCAAATCAGGCTGCATAGATAAGGGACAAAAATAAAAGTCTAACGACATCATACCACAGTTAGTCTCGTTTCACAAGGTGTGAAAGAAGTTCTCAGAAACTAATTTACCTCCTAAGCCTCTTTGCTTCACCTTTCTTACCCTTAAAGTGCACGTTTCCTTCACTGTCAGATCCCTCGTTAATAAAGCCACTTAATCTTACAACATTATTAAAACAAACTTTGAGACTCATGAACTAGTATAAGACACATTAACACTTGGCCCTATTTCAACATATGCCCTGACCTTTAAAAACATATAAAAGCAGGAAGGCAGCTGTGGAGTGACAGTGACATATTGCTAAAGAAAACAAATGTGATAAAGTTGAGATAAGTGAAGTGAAGTGAAGAACTTAAAGCAGTGTTAGTGTGCATTCACTCAATTCAAGTTGAATCAGTAAAAGCCCAGCAGACATGCAGACAGTGAAGACTGAAAGACATTCTAGTGAGGTCAAAACAGGTTGTGTTTGAGCAGCACAGATAATAAGAGTTAAAGCTGCATCAGAAAACATGAAGTTAAAGCACTGAAGTGATAAAGTTCTGAAGCTAACAGCACTGACCTTGGCTGAGCTCTGCAGTAGGGACTGGACCACGGCTTTCCCAATGCCTTGAGCCCCCCCGGTCACCAGAGCCACCTTCCCATTCAGAGACATGGTCCCAGCACAGCAGCAGCAAAAAACCCTTCACACTTTTGTTCTTCCTCCTTCTGCCTCTCACACTTTGTTTCCTCTGGTCTCTCTCTCTCCTTTCTATGTCTCGCTGGCTTTTTCTTCTCTGTGTCTTCTCTTTCTCTGTCCTCCTCTGTGCGCTTGTGCACCTATCTGCTCTCCCCGTCACAGTCATAGGCTTTCTCACTCTTGTGTGTGTTTTCACTCCTTTAGCAGGGCTGTTTGCCTGCCCCCCCCAGCTTATCAGTCTAGGCAAACAGTGTGTGTGTGTGTGTGTGTGTGTGTAAGAGAGAGAGAGAGAGAGAGAGAGAGAGAGAGAGAGAGAGAGAGAGACAGAGACAGAAAGAGAGAGAGGGAGAGGGAAAGAAAGAAAGAGAGAGAGAGTCAAAGGCTAAGTAAACTCTGTAGGATAGTAATTACAGGTTTTATGCAGCTAGTTGTACCTGCCCTCCTGCTTCCTTCAAACCTCCTCCTCCCTTTTTCTACACTACTCTTACTCCTGTTTCATCCATACACCTGAGCTCTTCACACACGTCACTGTTTCTTGACGTGAGAAAAAAAAAACATGAAAAAAAAACTTGGACATCAACCATTGACGAAGCTGCCAACCTCACGTTCTCCTCCTCCTCCCTCCTCCTCCTCTCTACGTCCATGTTAGCTTATTGTGTGTCCTCTGTTTAATTGCTCTTACACAACATGCTTTTCAGTCATACATCACACCAAGGTTCAGGTCTCTGCATGTTGACTGTGCTGAAATAAATGGAAACCAATAGCTGCTATCCAAATATGTAAGAATACCAGCAAGACCACAGTGACTCCAAGAGAACCTCCTAAAAAACAACACTGAAACAAAAGAACACGTTTTTGTTTTCATGTAAACACCACTATTTATACTTTGCAAAATATCAGATTCAAATTCAGGAACATCCCTACACTACCCTCCTCCTTCTCCTTCCTATACACCCCTCCTTCACCTCGTCGTCCTTATCTTGCGTCCTTCCTCCGTTCTCGAGCGAGAATCTGGAGATGTCTCCCCTCTGGTTTTTGGGATCTCCCAGGACCTGAAGTGCAGGCTGAACACAGGCGCCGTTGATAAAAAAGGCCCAGCAGAGGATGTACTTCCTGCGCCTGTTGGGGAAGTTCAACCTGCCCTAGCAGCTGCTCATCTGTGTCACAGTCTGGATTGGACTGGCCTCCAAACAGGACAAGGCTGCAACAAGCAAGGTAGCTTATGGTCAAATGTTAACTAATGTTGGGAAACTGCAGTTAAATATTGTCAGTTCATTGCTTTTATGACTTTTCTCTATGCAATTTTCTAGCATCTACCAATATGTAAATAAATAGACTGTTACGACACCAAGCCCCCCTAAGTTACAGTTGCTTGTCAATCTTTTCTTTCTTGCACTTTACAATGATAACAGCAGCACCTTTGAAAAAACGGATCAGTATCACGTTATAACGTGATGTGTTGTTGTAATGTATTGTAATAAGAAGATGCCTTTTAAGTTATAGCAAGAGATCTTCATACTATTACGACATACAAACTCATCAAACTTATCATGTTATACCAACAAACCTTTCTTGTTATAATACCTCTCATTCATAGTTCTCATTCAGGGCCGTGTCCAGACTTTTTTAACTGGGGTGGCACAAGTGGAGCACTGACTTATGCAGGTATATAATAGACCCCAGTCTGCAGAAAATAACACATTTAAGCTATAAAAACTGCATGGGATTAACATGAAGTGGGCATGTCTGCAAAGACTTGTGGGTACCCATAGAACCCATTTTCATTCAGTATCCAGAGGTCAGAGGTCAAGGGATCCCTTTAAAAAATGGCCATGCCAGTGTTTTCGTTGCCAAAATGTTTCCTAAATTTGGAGCATTATTTAGCCCCCTTCCCAACATGCTAGCATGACATGGCTGGTATCATTGGATGCGTTAGGTCTTCTAGGTTTCATATGATATCGGTATCTTCACTCTAGCTGGAGTGGCAGAGGTAAGGATAACGGGGTGACACCAGTGACCCCCCTCTGTGAACGCCCCTGTTCTCATTTCTAGCCAATGACCAGCAATTTTACTGGAACGATGATTTAATCAGCTGTAGCAAGCCAGAAGTGGTGAAAGAAGTATTCACGTCTTCTACTTAAAGAAGCTACCAGGAACTTTGATTTTGTGTTGATTCTGGCGGCCCCTCTGGACAAAAATGGTAGTGTTTCTACTGTCTCGTTTCATTGATTTCAAGGAGAATCTGACCGAATCTATCCCAGTGACAGACATTATACGTAACCTCATAGAATATATGTACAGTAGGTCATATTGAGGCATCAGAGTTAAATTCAGACTGTACCTCACATATTCATTAATGAATCATTCCTTGCACTTTTGCTCTTGTGGTTTTGGGATGGATCTGCTTTGTTAATTGGACCAATGATCAAATTCCTTTTGCCTTACCTTAATTGATTAATAGCTATATAAATAAATGGTAATAATTAGGCATATTTTGTGAAGCCATGTGCAGGAAAGGTACGGATTCAGCAACGGCACGCTTGATCCAGTGTATCTCTCCTCTGTACCGTTAAGAAAGGCAGCATTACACAAGTAATCCAGGTGGACTGAGAGACGAGAGAGGACAGACAGACAGTCAACATTAATCCAATAGAATTTAATTGGAACAATGTAAAATATGCACATCTTATTTTACAAAAAATAGTGTGTGTGCTCTCAACTCTGTACTTGGCTAATGTATGAGAGGGCTGCGTGTATTTCCACCTTTAAAGCTGCAGTAAGTAACTTTTATAAAAAATAACTTTTTTTCATGTTTGCTGAAACTGATCTTTTTACTTTTTCAGGCCCAGTGGTTTCTTGTAAATGCCATTAGGAGCACTAGGAGGATTTTTTCACAGATTATCTGTCTCATGTACTACTGTCAGAATATAGTCAAAGTTTCAGCAAATATAACAAAAAGTTATTTTCATAAAAGTTACCTACTGCAGCTTTAAACCAGCATACGTTATATATTTATATTATATAATTACCAGTTTGTTGTGTTTTGACAGACTGTGAGACTTAATTCTGACTGAAGATTTACAACAAGGGTGTGAGCAACATGACATTTTGTTTAAAAATGTGTCTGAAAAAACAGTTTAATGAAATACAACCTCTGAGATATGAAACTGGTCAGTTTTCAACTGAGCTGTGATGTGACTGTAGTCAGACTAACACTGTGGTGAACTGAGACTTGTGATATGCACACAATTTAACAAAATGTCCACACACTTTTACCACATTTGAACCACAATGCGGGTATAAATACAAAGCAAACATAACAAACTTCATGGCTCAGATTAAACATTGTGAAACCTTTTCAGGCTTGTGTGTATATTTTTTACATACAGTGTATTGAACTTACTGTAGGGAAAACTGCAATGGAAATCTAACTCGTGGCCAGGGGTGTTTCCAGACTGTTTTAACTGGGAGGTGTGGGGGGTGTGGATGTGATAGGTCTTCTAGGTTTTAGATGACACTAGTATATTCACTCTAGCTTTAAAATGGGGCCTGCTACAGCCTCTGAAACACAGTTGAAGAGGAGGAGGTAAGGATAATGGAGTGGCACTTGGGGTGCTCCAGGCCCCTCCTCTGGAAGTGCCCCTGTCCATGGCTCCAGTACTTCGGCTCAATTTGTCTTTATAAAAGTGAAGGAAGGCATATTGTGTAGAAAAGTGTTTGAAAATCAGTTCAGATCCGTCTCATCCAAATAGCAACAAAAAGAACAGCAGGACAATAACAGCCCACAGTTTCATGACTCATACAATACTGAGTCAGATTTTTCAATATTTTAAAACCTCTTTCTCTTTGTACAAAATTAATAATCTTTGACCTAACACAGAAATGTACATATAGTATTGTGTAGTTTTGTGTGTGTCACAGCGTGGTAAACTCGTCCAGTTTCTCTTCTACTGGCATCAAGACACTTTAGTTTGTGAGGTTGTGAGGAAGGCTGGCATCCACTGCTAAACATTAAGTACAAAGCCCCGAGTAGGAAACTCAAACACACCCAGTTCTCATTTCTCTTCTGGTCGATTAGACCTCTTTACAGACGATGTATGCTGGGAATTACATGAGGTCACCAAACGACTGCACACGTACTATGGCAAGCACTTTTAACATCTAATCAGCAGCGGTAGTAACAGCTGTAGATATTAACAACTAACCAATTCATTTCTTACTATCTTCATTGTTTTTCATTAATTGTTCTTTTTCAACGTGTAGAATTAGTCAGCTGATTAGATGTAAAAAGGACTTATAAACTTAGTGATCAGAATGATAGTGGTGGGAGGTTTTTCCTCATAAGCAGGTGCAAGCAACAAGAAAGTGTGGAATAAGTCAGCCAAACACAGCCTGAACATGGCCGCATGGTCCTGCAGAGAGCTCTAATCAGTGAGGAGCAATATTAAGGATCACACAATAACAACAGGCCATGTAGACCATATTTCGATTTTGAATTCATTGTCTTCCACACAGTCACTGATTTGCATTAATTTTACATGATGGAAATCAGCTTAAAACCTGTTTGAGATAGTTGCACTGCTGTTGGTGATCCAGACCTTTCACCTTAAAATCAAAATAATTAAGGTGAAGCACAGCGCAAAAAAGCCAAAAGGCCATTCTATCATCTTAAAGGTCCAGAGTGTAACACTGAGGAGGATCTATTGGCAGAAATGGAATATAATATTCATAGGTATGTTTTCACTAGTGTATAATCACCTGATAATAGGAATAGTTGTGTTTTTACTACGTTAGAATGAGCCATTTTTATCTACAGAGGGAGTGGGTTGCCTTACGGAGTCCGCTATGTGTAGCTGCCATGTTTCTACAGGAGCCCAGAAGGGATGAACAAACTCTGGCTGTAGATAGGGCTTTTCATGGTTTTTTTGCAAGTTTCTTGGAAGCCGTGTAGTATTTATATATGAAATACGGGCACAATACTCAAACTAAATGAATGGCTGCTGCTATATGCTATCTAGTAAAATGAGTGAACATTAAATTTGAAACATAGCTGCAGATATCTTTGATTTTTAAGTTGGTAAGAACTTGTCTGTAGACAACAGAAATTCCCGGACTAATGGAAACAACAAGAAGTTGTTTTCATTTGAAGCATGCAAATATTTCTATGGGGGAAACACTGGTGTAAATAACCCACAGCGACTGCACGGAAAGGCTTCATGTTAACAAGCTAACTGGACATCCTTCCAGGAAACACAGGAGGCTCGACTTGTAGAACACTGCAGTCTTTGAGTGGGAAAGTTCAGTGCTGAACTAAAACTGCACCAGTGTTTTGCATGTTGTAGTCCATGCAGGGGACATCTGCTACAGAAATGACAACCATGTTGGAAAGCATGCAGCAGCAGAGAAATGAAACTTGTGTGGATTGGATGAGTAATTGGAGCACCAACAGAGCAGCAACTAGCCATCAGGCAGATCCTGGGTCAGGGCCAACTGTGCGAAAGCAAACACTTCATGAGTGACAGTGCATTTCTTCTGTCACACAGCAGGAATGCTAAATGATCATACACAACTGGTGTTTCTGCAAATTTAAGCCCAGTTATACTTTTATTTTGGATTTTGAATGTAATTTCCCTTCCTAGGCAGTTCTCTACTGACTTCCCTAAAGTATGTAAATCTGAAACAGTGTCCATCATATCACTGTGACGTATCTCAAGCAAGTTTCACAAGTCCGCGAGTTGATCTGACACTGAGCATTCTGAACTGAAAAACTAAAATAATGCAGCATGCTTTGAGAAAAGATGGCAGGAAAATTAAAACCAGCAAAATGACTGTAGCACTCACTTTGATTGGAACAGATTTCAAGCACTCACAGCTGTCTCAGCAGAAAGAAAACACATCTTGTAATACTACAGCTCAGCAGGCTACTGCAATGTTTACAGCTGACAGGAATTAAGGCTAGAGCCAAGTTGTTCCCAGAAAACACATTGAAATTCTAATGAAGGTGTGTACTCAAGGGTCAAAATTTAATAATCCACAATAATTTGGCAACAGACTTTCACTAAATTCTTTTCAGGGGGACTAATTACTAACTGATGTAGACTTTTATAGGACACAGGACACTTAATTTTCACCTGGAATACAATCACTCTTTCATTTAGATTTTTCCAAATTAAGTCATTTAAAAGTTTGATCCAGCACTGGGTTCCCTCCAAAATCTGATTGCTAATGTAAAATAGTGGCTTGTGAATGTAATCTGCAGGAGATGGGGCTGCTCAGAGACACAAAATTAATGAACTTTACTTCTCCCTTTATCGTTTGATCAGAAAAGATTTCCACACATACAATAGTTTCTACAGTTTGGAGCGACTGACCTAGGTTTTCTAAACAGGTAGAAGACACAGAGACTGTTGTTCTGAGTTTGTATTTTGGATGAAATCCCTTCTCTGTCACTTAATTACATTTTCAGCTGAAATGACTGAATGCTTGAGTCAGAAGGAAACTAGGAGGAAATTACCACAGCATTACTCATTGTGTAAACAGGGAATCAGTGCAGGGATGTTTTACCATTTGATGGTTCAATAAAAACAAGTCATGTACAGTGTGTGGGTTGCTGGTAACAGCTGTGCATGTGTGTAATGAGTTTGAGAGCTGAGGTGTGGGCAGAAACTGTTATTTATTTGTGTGTGTTCCCTAATATTTCTTTGAGGAGTCATCTCCAGTCTGTTACAGTACATTGTCTGCTGCTGTCCACAACTCTACTGACTAATCAGACCATGATTGCAGCCTTTTATCACGGTTGATGTTGAAATGAAATTCTTCCCATATCTGGAGCATTTTAGTTGTTCGCTGCCTGTAAATGAAGTGCTTTGTTTCTCAGGCTTTTCTGGGTCTCTGTCAGTGTTTGAAGTCTTGAAACAAATGTAAACATCTCAGGTTAGGGTGGATGTCTCACTGCAGCAATTTCAGGGAAGGACAACACAGTAGGAGGACTACATTTCATCCATAAAGAACTGCAAATTTGATAAAAAATATATATAAACTAACATGGATTTAGGTGGCAACTTCAGTTCAACCGCTTTCTGGTGCTCTCAAAGGGATCCTGTTTTAAGTAAAAACACTGACTTTGTTTTGGTTTGGCTCACTACCATCAGAAAACTGAGGATGGTGATGACTGCTGACCGATCAATCAGTCCACTTATTCCTCTGTCTATCAACATATCTTAACAACCTCCTGACTAGAAATCACCAAATAAATAACAAAGAGAAGAAGATTTAACCCTTTCCATTTTCAGTCACAAAGTACCATGCAGTATTTTGATTACATTTAGCCTCTGGCGGGATTCTAATGATCTCATGACCTTTTATGTACCTCTGACGCCACGTTTGGTGAAGGTGTGGGTGGGTGTGGGTTTGAAAGTTGTCACAGACTCATGATTACAGCGCTAATCTCCACCAATTACAGTACAAATGATTGTGCCACCCATTGTGCGTATGTGGGTTGCATAAGCATTAGAGCGCACAGTTCTGATTTGATAACACTGCACTCGAGTGACAAGGGTGTAAGCTAACACTGACAAACGGGACTTCCAGTACACTGAACACTGAGAAATGACAATTCTCATAATAACCCCCCTTAATGACTCAGTGTCCCATAATTAACCCTTCAGTAACCCTTCTCCACTAGGTGCAGCACATGTTTTTGACTATTACGTCCTACTGAAGCACTTAGAAAGGTCTTACCAGCATGTCCTCAGCATGTACAGTTTTTAAAAGCATACCGAGTGGAATTTGTGCAGTTTGTAAATGCACCATCTGTGGCTCAGAGGAAGAGCGGGTCGTCCACTAATCGGAAAACTTGTTGGTTCGATCCCCGGCTCCTCCCGCCACGTGTCGAAGTATCCTTGAGCAAGATACTGAACCTCGAATTGCTCCTGATGTGTGTGTGAATGTGAAAGGGTGAATGTGGCACGTAGTGGAAAAGCGCTTTGAGTGGTCGGAAGACTAGGAAGGCGCTATACAAGTACAGGTCTATTTACCATTCAAAGTTGAGTGAGCTAGAGAGCGAATAAAAAGAGGGAGCAGCGTTAACAAGAACAAAGCAGTGAATCAAAGAAATAGGATGCAACAAAACTATAAAGCTGATTCTGAACGAATCATCCATCACCGTGACAGCGAGAGGACTTTTAAGGTGAAAGAACAGGTGAATTAGCCATGCTCTTCCAATCAGCAAGAGATAAATACCAGAAAACCTGGCTGTAATTTCCCAAATTACTTGGCAAGGAGGAATGATTATATGTGCCACAGCCAGGCTCAGGGGAGAAGGCTTCACATAAGGTAAGACATGAAGTGTTCTTTAGACAACTTGTAAATTAACATTAACCTGTTAATGCAATCAGCTGTGAAATTCATGCAATCAGGTCTGGGTCTACTGACTGGGTTCGGGTCCAGCATTTCTCAGTTCTGCATGGGTCCCAGCTTTCAAATAACAGACTGTGCCGGCTCGGGTTTGGGTAGTACATTTCCGGGTTGGCACAAATCTTTGGACCTGTGAAGACCTCTATTCCCCACCTGACACCTTACACGCTGCCGTAAGTTGGACGCCCACAAACATCCTGAAAGCAGCACAGTAATAGGAAAATACAGGCAGAGGGCAGGGTCTTTGCAGATGCAGACACTTCTAATGAGTTGTAACTGATGATTAAAAGGGATTATCTTTATGAGTCTATACAGTGTTTTCTCATTCTGTCTTAAAAGAAAAAAAAAGCCACATGGACTAAAAGGGGTGTAAGGGTTTTGTGGTTGTGCTTTCTTCGAGCATTCACACATGACTTGCTTCAGAGGCTGGTATGTTTATTGCTTACACTGGGAGAGTGCGTATGAGCTCACTAAACTCAAGAACCACCCATGAAAACTGATTTGCCTTCACACTTTTGCTGTGTCACACACAGCAAAGACCAAGGTTTTAATTAGACCAGAGGCAGCCAGATCTCAGCTCTCAGATTGTCCACCAGGAGCCAGGGCTTAGCTGCACCCTGCCTACTGCATTTCAATGTGGGAATCTAGTTTGTAGAGACTTATACATTAGTATGCTGATGAGACGCTTCCACAGGGCACTGGACATCTGCAGACACTGCTTTACTGGTTTAACTGGTCCGTCATAGACATCTTCCATTCACACATCAGCCACTCCTGACATGCTTTCTATGCTATGCAGTCCACTTAATAAAACACATGCACTCATTGGCTGCTGTAGTCAATTGTGATTGGTGGAGATTACCTCTGCTCCAGTCATTAATCTGTCATTTGTCTATGAAACAACCTGTTGCTGTCTCTTCCTCTTGCAGTACAAAAATCACTTAATGCAGCTTCAGAACAATATCAATCTAATGTTGGCTGTCAGACAGTAGATTACATTTAACTGATTTCATTTAGATAAGAGAGCATATTACATGCTTTTTTAGAGGCTATATAATGCCTGTTGGAGGTTTCCCTGTGCTTTATTGTGTTATTTAGATTTTTTGTGCATGTAAAAGGTCTGAAAAGGGACAAAGCCCAAAGTGCACACAAAAGAACAAAACACTGCACCTGCACTGCCTGACATGCCTCGTTTGTATTCAGTCTTCTCTTCCATTACTATATTGCATCACATTAGAACATGTACCACTGAAACCTAGTGAATCTACATGGTGGGCTGTGCCTGCTAAGGCTTATGGGAGCTGACCAATCCAAGAGGGGGGGTTGGGTAGAGGCAGACAATGGCATGTATGAGAAAAATAACATGTTTTATAAACACTGAAGCATGTAAACCTATCATAGTAAACCAGAAAATGAGCATAATATGGCCTCTTTAATCTTCCAGGAGCTAAAGGCCACACTCTCCCCACTCTTCATCCACTGACGTCAGTGACCACTGAGGTGACATGGAAGCTGTTAATCATCTGTTGAGATTCATTGTGTAACAGAAACAAGCACTGGCTTTAGTCAGATATGAGCAACAGTCCACTCTGTGCTGCCATGCAGAGGGTGGTGGGTGATCTAGCTTTGTGTTTCTGTACATTGTTAGTGAGAACTGATATGAGCCTTCAGAATCAGGACATTTTTGCAAATTGAGGTCATCTTGAATGGCCCTCAAAGTCAGGGTTAAGGGACAGGGAAATGAGGGAAGTCAATGAAGTTTCCTCATGTATTATAGCGGTACAAGAATGTATGTGTGTGTGTGTGCGGCACATATATGAATAATTTCTTCTCTTTCTTTCTCTATTGCTTATGTACATCTTCATGTCGAAGTATCTTATAAAGAACCCAGTAGAATATATTGAAGAAGAGAAAGGCCAGAGGGAAGCCGGCCCTCGACACAGTGTCAATCTTTTTGGCCCTGTCGATGAATAACTTCCTCATCTCTTCGATGCTTTTACCCCCTCCACCTGCTGTTGCTCCAGGTGGATTCTGGGTAGTGTTTGCTGTGGCTCCTGGGGTGTTCAGTACAGTGACAGTATTGTTGGCGCTGGCCTTCGAGTCCTTGCTGTTGCTGGGAGTGGAGGTCACAGCAGCTGTGGAGGTTAGTCTGCTCTCATGTACTTCCCCTTCCTGTTGGGGAGACAAGGAGGAGGAAGAGGAAGAGGAGGAGGAGGAGGAGGGGTTACAGGTCAGATAATAGTGCTCATTATTATTCTCTTAACAGACGCATGTGCATGTGCATGTGCTGCTGAAGCAGCCTTGAGCACAGCACTGAATGAGGGTTAAAAATGTATATACTGCTTTGTGTATAAGCAATATTGGCCTTGGATAAGTTAGGGCAGAAATGTAAAATACCATACTTTATGTGTTTAGAAACTATATATACTGGTGGTCTCTTAGAAGTTTACATATTTGTTTTCTAATTATGGTTCAGTATTTTGTTTCAGAGGCTCCTGTGCAAACACCCCCAAACATGAAGTTTTGTCATTAAACTGGAAATTCCAGTTGACCATTTATTCATATATTTGATCATTTTACAATCAACAACACGTCCTGTGCAAATTAAAAATGCTAAATGTATTATTTCATGAAACAATTTAATAGGTTCATAACTGGCCATAATGTAACATTTCTTAAGCTTGCTCAATATTTTAAAGGTTTCCTGCAGACACTGTTCTCAATAAGAATGGTAAGATTCAACGATTTGCATCTGTTCATGGCAGAAAAGTTCAAGATGCAGCTGCATGGATTAAAAAAAGTGTGCACTGGATACAATTTGGGATGAAATTGGGATGCATCACTTCTAACACACACCGATCAGCCATAACATTGTGAGCACCTGGGCACCCTGGTGGTCCCATACCAACAGACTGCTCTGCACTGTGTGTTCTGACCTCTTTCTATCAGAACCAGCATTAACTGTTTCAGCAGTTTGAGCTACAGTAGCTCGTCTGTTGGATCGGACCACACGGGCCAGCCTTCACTCCCCACCTGCATCAATGAGCTTTGGACCCCCATCACCCTGTCTCTGGTTCTTTTCCTTCCTTGGAGCACTTTTGATAGATACTGACCTCTGCAGACAGGAACACCCCACAAGAGCTGCAGGTTTGGAGATGCTCTCACCCAGTCGTCTAGTCATCACAATGTGGCCCTTGTCAAAGTGGCTCAGATCCTCACAGTCTTCTAACGCATCAGCTCTGAGGACAAAATGTTCACTTGCTGCCTGATATATACCCCACCCACTGACAGGTGCCATGATAACCAGATAATCAGTGTTATTCACTGTCAGTGCTCACAATGTCCAATCGGTGTACATGCATCGGTGAAAAACTATTTATTTATATGTATTTATGCATGAGACCCGATGTCTTTATTATATAAAAATGGGAGCATAATTTAAGATTTCATTGAGCCCTCCTCTCTAAACAGACTTTTCAAGCTGCTTAAAGCTGCAGTAGGTGCTCATATTTGCTGAAACTTTCACTTTATCCTGACAGTAGAACATGATACAGATAGTCTAAAAACCTCCACCAGAACTAAAACAACCAATCCGTGCTGAGAAAGACTAATTTTTGATCATTATCTTCAAACCAATCACTCAAAACCTCAGAGCCAGAGGAACCAGATCTTTTCACAGTTCTCATGTACTACTGTCAGGATATAGTTTCCTACTGCAGCAACATTTCTAAATAATAAAGGCATAGGACCTCTACTAAAAATGGTTTTACTGATGCAAAGATGTTAGAAATGATGCATCCCGATTTCATCCCAAATTGTATCCGATGCACAGCAATCGGATCGACGAAGCAAAGAAATACAAATCTAACTACCTGTACCATATTAAATTGCATAGCATCATATTTTTTTGCATTGCGTCGCGTTGATTCAAATCGTGTCAAATTGCAATTCATTGTAATAGGGGTGAATTGTGTCGTATTGCATTGGTAGTAGCGTCATGTGTATCTTTAATGTATCAGATTGTCAGTAGTCAAACATATAATTTCTCTCAGTCTAAAATCTAGCATGTCATGCTAGTGTGAGGTATCAATAAGACCTATCCCGGAGCTAAAGGTCCCAAGATAAATCTGAGGAGGCACTGAGGGTTAAGAAGAGTGAGAATACACAAAATTACACAAACTTAAAAATCCCTCAAATGAAACAATCCAAGGAAAAATCCCTCTTTGGTAGAACTGTAGTCCACAACAAAGCCTTAAATCTGTGATAAGGGCTCACAAATAGACATTGACCTGTGAAAGTGACAAAGGTTGGAAACCACTGATCTATGGTCCATTAAAGTTTCAACACCTGTTCAAAAAAAATCTTAAGTGTTCAGCAAATATTGCTGGAGTCATGACTGTTGATTGTTCTAGGTTCTATTGTTAACATGCATCAGGTTTCAATGGGCCTGCTGAACTTCATACTTTAGATCAGCATTATATCACCACCTACAGGCTCAGTGAGTATCAGATTAGAGAATAGGCAGCAACCTGTTTATAAATATATCAGGTTATGATCCCAACAATTCTGAAGCTACATGGACAGATACAAAAAGTATACTAGGTTACTGATTATAATTTAGGCTTATTCTGGAATTAACAATTGCATGTCATATATTCTGTGTGATCCCTTTTGATCTATTTTTTTCTCGGGGGCTTTTATTGCCTTTAATTGATGGAGTGACAGGAAAAATGGGAGAGAGAGAGGGGATGACACACAGCAAAGGGCCAAAGGACAGAGTCAAACCCATGGTCTCTGCAGCAAGCACATATTTCTTGCTACATGGGGTGCCCGCTCTATCGGGTGAGCTACCAGGGGGACCCTGCGTGATGCTTTTAACCACGCTGTGTGCTGTTTCTGGTCTTTTGACCACAATCTTTTCCTAATGAGTTTTTGTGCCTAAACCTAACTGATCCGGGTTTCACAGACGTTAACCAGGCAAGCTTTATTTCAAAATTCTAACTGGACATTGTATTCTTGCTAACTTCACAGCATATACATCCAGAAATGATGCTAGAGTGGTACCTGCCATATTTTAACCACTGATGAAACTGCAGTATTTTGACATGTTGGGAGTGAGAACATGTTACATTTCTATTTCTTCTTTCAGTTTTATTTATATATCCGTTGTCGTGTCCTTTATAACTCTCTATATTGACAACTGCTACATGAACATTATAATGATATGATATGATTATCGTGACCCAGTGTCCCTGTCCATGTCCATGTCTTCACTAAACCAGCAAACTCACGACGGTGGAGGGTCACAACAACACAATGGTTGGGTCATGCAAGTGAAACATGCACAAATACACAAACACACACACATACGGTATGTACTGTACCATTACCCTGTGGTTGCTGGTGCAGATGTTGGTCATAGATCCATACAGAGGGTCTGTTGGTTTGAGGCCGTTGTCAATGTTAACGCGACGGAGGGAATCAGCTAGCTCCTCTGGATCAACTGCACCTCCACTGTTCTACCAGTCAACAGCATGCACACCAGCAGTCAACAGACAGAAACCAAAAGAAAAAAAAAGCATCCAAAAACAGGGTTGGGACACCCATTCATTCAGTCAACCTGTGTCTAAATGTTTATGATAATGCTGTCAATTACAGTTTGTTTGGGTGGGTCTCAATTCTCAACAGTTCAGTTACCTTTATACAACAACTGAACAAAAATATAAATTACTGCATGTTGAAACCACAAACTTCAGTATTAAAGCTGCAGTAGGTAACTTTTCTAAAACAATTTTCTGTCATATTCTGACAGTAGGACATGAGACAGATAATCTGTGAAAGAATCAGGAACCATCCAGAGGAACACTATCTCTCTCATGTACTACTGTCAGAAAATAGTGATTTCAGCAAATATGCCAAATGTTATTTTAAAATGTATAAAAGCTTTAAAACTTCAGGTAAAGACGCTATGAAAGAAAAACAATCTATGTCTTTCTTTCTTAACATCCACAGTTGTTCCATTCTAGTATTGATCCAAACAGACCAAAACCTATCTTGAATAAGCATTTTTGTGCTTTTTACCCATCAAAATGCTTCCCTTGTCTTTAATGTATTGTGCTTTTGTTAATGTCTCATCATGTTCTGATGCTGGGTCGTTCCAACCAACTCATCCAATCATTTAAAACTGCAGTAAGAAGTAAAACCAGTTTGCGACAGCGTACATTAACACCTGCAGTTCTCTCGGCTGCCAAAAACATACAAACATATTCACACACAATATACTTAACTTGTGGGTTGAATCCCACAGGACTTTAGAACATAGGGTCTGGGCAAGATGCTACATGCTGTTGTTTCAACCCATTTTATGAGTATTTCCTCAACATAAATTCAGCTGTATATTGACCTGTTTTATCAATTGTAGTCATTACCAGTACCAATCTCAAAACACATCGGCTATCGTCTGAGAGGATTTAGTCTCTGGGGGCAATGGCCAGTATTTGGCTTCTGGTGTAGCCAGTGCATATCCAAGACTTCCTTTGCAGTTTGATTAGCAACTTGATACATGAGAATGACAGGTACAAGATGAATGAAAAGCAAAACTGACGTCAAACAATAGCCGATGGGTTCCAAGATTGCGTTTCGGCCAATATGTTCAGCCTCATTTGCTTTGCACACAGACTGTTAAGCTAAGCACTATGGAGGACTAAAAGTGCCACAATTAAATAAATAAATACACCATTAAATAATTACTTAAATGTGTCATTAATTAATTAAAATTGGAATTAAATACATAAATGTGTTATTAAATGTGTCATTAATTCATTCAAATACCGATTCATTTAATGTAAAATACATATATCATTATTTCACTATTTATTTAATTATTTCATGGTCCTGCGTTGCAGTGCTTCATGAATTACTGTAATCTGTCAAACTGACCCATCAAACTCAGTGTGTGGGGCTAACGCAAATCTAGCCTGATCCATTGCTTTGGTCCGAAGTAGAGTAATGGTAAATGGTAAATAGACCTGTACTTGTATAGCGCCTTTCTAATCTTTCAACCACTCAAAGCGCTTTTACACTATGTGAGACATTCACCCTTTCACACACATTCACTCAGTGATGGCAAAGTCCATTGAACAGAAACTAACAATCATACACATTCACACACCGATGCACGGCATCGGAAGCAATTTGGGGTTCAGTATCTTGCTCAAGGATACTTTGACATGTGGCACCAGGAGCCGGGGATTGAACCCACAACCTTCCGATTAAGACCCGCTCTGTGTCTGAGTCACAGCTGCCCAGTGCATGGATAGAAACGATGAAGGATCTTCATGAACTTTCTAGGGCAGCGGTCACTAACAGGCGGACCGTGGTCCGAGTCCGGACCCAGACGCAACAGAACAGAAGATTTATGGCGCTCTCTAAGAAGAGAAAAGTGGATAGCGAAAATAGAGCTTTTAACCCGGAATGGACAGATTCATTCATATTCATTCTTCCCACTGGGAGCACATAACCAGTGTGTCTCATGTTCAGAGTCCGTGGCGCTGATTAAAGGTGCCAGTGTGAAACGGCACTATGAGACAAAACACAAAGTTTTAATCAAACATACCCACTCAAGTCTGAACTAAGGTCACAGAAAATAAGAGGTCTCAGATCCCAATATGATCAATCAACCAGTATCCTGACCTATCCATTCACTGCCCAACAACAACAGAAAGTGGGGGCGTAAGATGTGTTGATATTCATTTATTATAAAATTTGTTGAGACTGTTAATCAAGATATGAAACAGTTAACAAAGAAAAAGGGAAAATCAAGCTGCTGCTACACTTTATTTTTCTAAAGTTAAACACTTTATTTTATTTTTTAGACTTAGACATTTTAGACTTAGCAGAGGATGTGGAAGCAGTACCTGCTGACCCAGAGCATGTAGCGAGTAAAGCAGAGAAGCTTATTGAAGTTCTTGGAGTTATTTCAGCACTTTCTGACCAAGATATTGACCACAGAGTGACTGCAGATTTATAAGAAGTAGTCCAATAGCGCCACCCAGTGTATTGGAATGTGTTCACTAGCTCTGCATCAATCCATTATCTGGAATTGATTTGCCTTGGCTTGATGCTCAGCGTAACCAATCAGGCGTTAGGATCCGCCTACCAACTTTGATGGGTCAGTTTGACAGATTAAAGTAATTCATGAAGCACTGCAACGCAGGACCATGAAATAATTAAATAAATAGTGAAATAATTATATATGTATTTTACATAAAATGAATCGGTATTTGAATGAATTAATGACACATTTAATAACACATTTATGTATTTAAGTCCAATTTTAATTAATTAATGACACATTTAAGTCATTTTAATTTAATATTATTTAATGGTGTATTTATTTATTTAATTGTGGCACTTTTAGTAATCCATAAAGCACAGCCAAAGCATTTTATATATATATATATATATATATATATATATATATATATAAAAAAAAAAGTTTTTCTCATTGTTATGCACCAATGTACCAAGGCAAAATCCTATTTACAGAGATCAGATCAGTATAGGTCTTACATTTTCTTTTGATCATAAGATCAAAACATATCAAGCTTTGTCCAGACAAGGCACCAATCAGTAATTTCATTGGTATCTGCCAATGAGATATTAGTAGGTATTTTACCCTGTTTTGTGTTTCACTACAATGTAAAGTGAAGAGTTACACAGAGTTTGGACAGATATTAGGACTGCATACTAATTTATTTTTCAATTCTGATTCTACCAGTTCCCTATTTACTTTACCTTTATTTACAGATTTGCCTCTCTGAGACTGACTGATACATATCAAAATTATCGATTTCCTCCTTTAACCCTCATAATACCTTCCCATTGACTATGCAGTTGTGTTCCTCCATCATGAATTTGACCCCAGTCTGGTTTGACTTGTTTAAAAAACATATGGTATGAATTATGATCCAATACTGTGTTTTACCTTATTAGTCAACTTAATACCAACTCATTAACACCAAGCATGACCCAAATTTCTATAATTTAGGTTCAGTAAACCTCATTTATGCAAAATTATATTGCATTTTTTCGGAAAAAAAATCGGAATAATTTTGACTATAGTTAATATAATAGGAATATATGTTGATTGATTATCACAGTCTGGTATATGTCAAAGTTTAGTCAGGACACTGTTTTGAAAGCATTTAATTTATATTTGTTATTTAAATAATGAGACCTGTTGTCCTTCGGGGTGTGTGTGTGTGTGTGTGTGTGTGTGTGTGTGTGTGTGTGTGTATTTGTGGTGTGTGTGTGTATGTTATATGCATGCATGTGTGCGTTATATGCGCTGTGTGTGTGTGTGTGTGTGTGTGTGTGTGTGTGTTTGCACAGTGTAACCCAATGGCCCTTCTGGGGTAAAATTACAGTAGGGAAGAACAAACGTGTTCTAAAGTTCAATCAAACACCCAAAATTCAGTGAAAGTGGTGAAAATGTATTTTATGTGGAGCTCCCATACCATGGAACCATCCATGTTATTTTGGTGAAATTATATTTAAAAAATGCCATATTTATGACATAATGAACATTGAAATGGGATCAAAAATGACCCCAAGACATTATGAGGGTTAAACTAAATGCTGTTTGTGTGTTTGAGTTGACTGAATGCTGAGATGATCCGTTCCCAACGCACAGAGATCCTAATCATGCACTGACAACAGGCTCATTCTCTGTTTGGATGGCCGTCTGTCAGAGAAATAATTCAACTAAAGAATCATAAAACCACACAGATGAAGTTGCAGCCATGCTTTATCATGCACTGATACAGTAAGTGATGTGTGGTGTTTCAGGAAACTCAAACATGCACAGTCAGATGCACTGACACTTCATATCTACTGTCACATCAGGAATGGTGTCGTTTGCTCTCCAACATCATTTTCTTTTTTACCCCTCCCTTCCACTTTCTCATCTAATGCTGTTCCTGAGTAGCATACTGCAATAGCAACATGTCGCCAAAAGGTGACAGCCTCAAACCACAGAAGTACATTATTACTGATCACACTGGATGATGTAATGTGGACTGTAGGAGGATTTTTTGGTACCTTGCTCTTGCTCTTGGGAGGCCGCCTGAATCGCAGCAGCTCTTTATGTTGCCTCGACACAAAGTTGACCGCAGCATACTCCAGCAGTGCAGAGAAGACGAAGAGGAGACACACAGCCATCCAGATGTCTATAGCCTTGACATAAGAAACCTGTAAACACAAACACACACACACACACACACACACACAACACACACACACACACACACACACACACACAAGTGAACTTTAAGATATAGGGGATGTCGGTTAGTTGCCATTTTGCCGTTTTGACATTTTTGGTTTTTATAACATTTTTAACTACATATGTTCTGTAGATGCAATATTTTTTTGGACTGAAACCTGCTTAACTCCAAACCTGGGTGACCAGGGTCAGGCCCAACCAGAGGCAGAATAGGGCCTGTCTTCCTGTGATGTGAAGTTTGCAAGTTACTAAATTATTATGTCGCAAAACATATAAAAACTAAATGTTGATGTTCATAAATATCAACATTTATTTATTCATAATTTTGCTTAATAGTTGCTAAAATACCAATATTTATATATATATCTTTTCAATGCATTTTCTCAAGTTTGTATTCATCCATTGATTAGACCCTATGTGGCTCAAACATAGACATAGGTTATATGTTCTAGAATTGCGCAGAGTGGCAGCCTAACATGACAGCTCCTGCTCCACCTCTTATTTTTTTCGCCTTAAATCTTACTACTTCTTTATTCCTTCTTAAATAGCACTGTGTTTATTGTTGTAAATAGACCTCCAGTGTTGGTAGTTGATTTTTTTACTTTTTTAGCCGTAGTTGAACTTTTTTAGTTTAGTTTTTTTAAATATAAACAATGTGTAGGAATGTGGACACAACAACCACCACACAACAAAACACTGGAGGTTATTCACGTGAGGACTTCCTACGGTATCAGGATTTACGTGTTGCATGCCCGAGGGAGATCCCGGTGGAGTTAAGGAGACGAAAGAGAGGAACCAGAGCAGGCACGTTGGTGAGGACCAAGAAGACAGAGAGGCGGTGGAGATACAAGCCATGTCTTCCCTCGGTTGTCATGGGAAACGTACGCTCGCTGAACAAGACGGACGAGCTCTCGGCCCTGGTCAACAGACAGCGAGAGTATCGGGAGTGCAGCATATTATGTCTGACGGAGACATGGCTGAATGACATTACACCAGACTGTTCAGTGGAACTAGCCGGCTTTTCACTAGTTCGGGCAGACAGGAAGAAACAGAGCGGTAAAAAGTCTGGAGGAGGGCTCGCTGTCTTTGTGAACTCTAAATGGTGTAACCCTGGACATGTTGTCAAGAAGGCAGAAATCTGCACACCTGATATCTAACTGCTGGCCATAGGGTTAAGGCCGTACTATCTGCCCCGTGAGTTTACGGCCACTATTGTCGTCACTGTTTACATTCCTCCATTGGCAGTAGCGGCGCACGCCTGTGACGTCATCCACTCCACCGTTGCAGACCTGCAGACACGTCATCCCAGGGAAGCTGAAAGCCATCATGGACAACCCCTGTCATCCTCTCTACACTGAGCTCAGGCAGCTCAGGAGCATCTTCAGCTACAGACTGACCCAGCACCGTACCTCAAAGCGGTTTGGAGGCTCATTTGTACCATCTGCAATCAGACTCCACAACGCCACAGCTCCCAGTTCCTCCAACCCCAGCAGACAAAGATTAGTTTAGAACTCCTACCTACAACGCACAAACCTTTTGCACTATTTATATTTAATTTCCACTTTAGTAGTTTAGTAGTTTTAGTTTAGTTTTAGTTTTTTAGTTTTAGTCAAGTTTAATTTTTCTGCTCATATTTCAGACTCCATATCCTACTTGAACAACAAATAGTGTATATACTTTAATTTATAGTTTTTATATCTTCAAATATTAATAATATTAGCAATATTTTTACTGTGATATTCTTTGTTTTCTGTTTTTGCGCTGCTTTGCCCTATTGCTGCTGTGTCAAAATTAATTTCTCCTTAGGGGAATAAATAAAGGAATTATCTTATCTTATCTTATCCTTATTCTCTTTCATAATAGTAAATCAATAATATTTTTTACACAAAATATAATTTTAATTAATTTCACTTCTTCTAATGTATTTCTTAGAGCAGTGGTTCCCAACCATTTTCCTAAAGGGGCACCTTTGAGTAAACTTACAACCCCTGACTAAGTGACATATTTTATAGGTATTTCATATTATATTCAATGCATAACAATAACAGTAGAGAACAACCGATAAACTTTACAAACCCTGTGTAAACCCAAACAGTCAACCCAATGACTGCAGGAAGTTTGAATAAAATTAGTGATTTGGATGAATTTTGAGCAGATTATTTCCTGTGAATATTTATCCGAGATTAGTTTTTCTGATATTTTTAGTAACTTTTTACTATTAAAAATCAGGTTCCTCTGGCTCCTCCTAGTGCTCCTGACGGCATTTGTAAGAATCCACTGGGCCTAAACAAAAATAACCAATCAGAGCCGAGAAAGATAGAAAGATACTTTGGGTTGGTGGCATGAAGATACAGTTAGGTCCATATATATTTGGACACAGACAAGTTCTGTTAGTTTAGCTGTTTACCAAAACATATTCAAGATACAGTTATATAATTAATATGGGCTTAAAGTGCAGACTTGCAGCTTTAATTTGAGGGTCACATCCAGATTGGAGGAATGGTTTAGGAATTACAGCTCTTTAATATGTAGCCGGGACCAAAGGTAATTGGACAATTAACACAAACGCTATTTCATGGGCTGTATGGGCTAGTTCCTCGTTAACCCATCATCAATTAAGCAGGTAAAAGGTCTGGAGTTGATTCCAGGTGTGGCATTTGCATTTGGAAGCTGTTGCTGTGAACCCAAAACATGCGGTCAAAGCAGCTCTCAATGGAAGTGAAACAGACCATCCTTAGGCTGCAAAAAAAGAAGAAATCCATCAGAGAGATAGCGGAAATGTTAGGAGTGGCCAAATCAACAGTTTGGTACATCCTGAGAAAACAAGAGCGCACTGGTGAGCTTGGGAACTCAAAAAGGCTTGGACATCCACGGAAAACAACAGTGGTGGATGATCGCAGGATCCTTTCTATGGTGAAGAAAAACCCCTTCACAACATCCACCCAAGTGAAGAACACTCTCCAGGAAGTAGGTGTATCAGTATCTAAGTCTACCATCAAGAGAAGACTTCGTGAGAGCAAATACAGAGAGTTCACCACAAGGTGCAAACCATTAATCAGCCTCAAAAATAGAAAGGCCAGATTAGACTTTGCCAAAAAACATCTTTGGACGGATGAAACTAAGATCAACCTGTGCCAGAATGATGGGAAGAAGAAAGTATGGAGAAGGCTTGGAAAGGCTCATGACCCAAAGCACCCCACATCTTCTGTAAAACATGGTGGAGGCAGTGTGATGGCATGGGCATGCGTGGCTTCCAACGGCACTGGGTCACTAGTGTTTATTGATGATGTGACAGGAGACGGTAGCAGCCGGATGAATTCTGAAGTGTATAGGGATATTCTTTCTGCTCAGATTCAGCCAAATGCAGCAAAGTTGATTGGACGGCGCTTCACAGTACAGATGGACAATGACCCAAAACACACTGCAAAAGCAACCCAGGAGTTTTTTAAGGCAAAGAAGTGGAATTTTCTGCAATGGCCGATAGGGCTGGGTATTGTTAAGAACCTCACGATTCAATTCGATTTTAATTCTTTAGGTCACAATTCGATTCGATATTGATTTAAATTCTTCAATATCGATTCAGTAATAAGTAGAATTACACAAATGATTAATTAGAGTACCTGTTGATAATTTTAAAAGCTTTGGGACGGCGACTTCCACCATGTGTTTGCGTGTTGGTATGGCGTATCGTGGTTTTAGTGTGTATACCATCTTCTTAAAATCCCCATTTTCCACGACACTGTATGGTCGTAGGTCCTTACGTATAAACACAGCCACATACTCCGTTATCTTCTGTGCGCGGGCAGAGTTTGGCGGCAGTTTGCAAAGGAAGGATCTGTCGAGTTGTGTCTGTTTTGAATCCACGGGTTTAGCCGCGGGTTGCTGCAGAGCATCTGCATGATGTCGGCTTAAGTGGTTGCGCAAATTTGTTGTGTTATTGCAGTATTTTAGTACTGCCTGGCACAGCTTACACAATACCTTACTTTTGTCTATTGTAACACTGCTGCTACTTGCTTCGGTTGCCATGTTGTTGTTGTGTGGTCATGTGCGGTCTCCGTCCATACAACGCAAGTCACACAAAGGTGTTGCTCACCGCGCCCCCACTGGCCAGGGGCTTGAATCGATTCAGAGGATTTAATGAATCGATACTGAATTGGGAAAAAATATATTGCAATGCATTGATGAATCAATATTTTTACCCACCCCTAATGGCTGAGTCAATCACCAGATCTCAACCCGATCGAGCGTGCATTTCATTTGCTTAAGACAAAACTTAAAAGTAGAAAGACCCACAAACAAGCAACAACTGAAAACAGCTGCAATTAAGGCCTGGCACAGCATCACAAAGGAGGAAACCAAGCGTTTGGTGATATCCATGGGTTCCAGACTTCAGGCAGTCATTGCCTGCAAAGGATTCTCAACAAAGTATTAAAAATGAAAATTGTATCTATAGTTCTGTTAATTTGTCCAATTATTTTTGAGCCCTTGAAATGAGGAGACTTTGTTGAAAAATGGTTGCAATTTCTAAACGTTTGATAGGATATTTTTGTTCAACCCCTTGAATTAAACCTGAAAGTCTGCACTTCAATTGCATCTCAGTTGTTTAATTTCAAATCCAATGTGGTGGCATGGAGAGTCTTTTCTTCTCATTGTTCTATCAGCTCTTGGTTGTTTTAACTGTGTACCTTTCTAATGCAGGACGATGCTGTTTAGCAGAGAGTAAAGGCTCTGTGAATATAGCTATTATGGGTTTTGTTAATATCTTAAATAGTAATCTAAAGTTTTAAAATAACAATTTCATTAAGCTTTCTTCACAGAAATGAATGAAATGTTGACATGCCTACCGTATATTTAAAAAAAGAAAAAAAAGTTGTCTTACACCCTTCATCAAGAAGGCCTCGCGACCCTTAGTCGGGGTCAAGAGGTTTGGAAGCAGTGTCCTATCTATTATACTACACATCTTCTGACACTCCTTTCATTACAGAAATTATTTCAGGGTTGCAGCTGCTGCCCTTCACACCCACACACACACACACACACACACACACACACACACACACACACACACACACACACACACACAGTGCCACTGATACATGTGGTGTCAAAATGATGTATCCACCTTACTTTATGAAATAATGACTTATTCAGACACGTGTAACATACTAGAGTGCAAAGTTCTGTTGAGCATGGGAAACATGAGAAACCTCCTAACCTCTGAATACACACACACACACACACACACACACACACACACACACAGCCATGTTGCTGAGGTGTATGTGTGCAGTATGTGTGAGAAAGATGGCTGTGCTAATAAGGGTTATGTAACAAAGTGCTCCATGTCAGATTTTTTCTCATGCATACAAGATACCAGAACAAGACTAAGGGGCTCTTTCTCACACACGCTCTAGCGGATGCATGATGTGTGTAATCAACACATACTTGTGCTTGCCCATGCAAAACATTCACCAATAAAAAAGGAGAAAAAAATAGAGGCATTTCAGGTCTCGGGAGAGAGAAAAAACAACTATGCCACACACATGTGCATTCTCTATGTCCACCTCCTCCTCCAGTTACCTACCTATATACTGTATGTACTGTATATAGAAAGTATGTTCTCCTAAATATGCCACTATATCGGTGCTGCACCAAAGGCTGAGTTCAACCCTTTGAACTAAATGGACACAATCTCTCTGTGCATCTATGGTTACAGTACAAACAGGCAAGTACATCCAGCTGCAGCTGCCGCACAAACGTGAAGGAAGTTCCAAATATGGTCTGTGAGCTGGCTGTGTCACAGAAGTGACTGCGCCCAAAACATATTGACATTTAAATATACCAAACTCAAGGCTCATGCGAAATTCATAAATAGGACAAGTTATGGTAGGGGTCGGCCCATAAAGTGAAGTTTGCAAGTTATTCAATTATTCACTTTACAAAAGGTATAAAAACTACATTTTGATGTTAATATATATATAGCAGGTAACCTAACACAGTTTATAGTTCATCCTCATTATTACTGCAAAAATACCTATATTTATTCTTTCAAATTATTTAATTTTCCTAAGTCACCTTTAGTTTGCATTCATTCATTTAGACCACATTCTTAAAGTTATATATTTGTGGCTCAAACGTAGACATACGTAAGCCTCATTTCTTTGCTTAATATATGCTAAAATTGTTACCTTTACTCACATTTTCAGTTTATTTTTGATCTGCTATGATCTATAGTCTTCCTCAGCCACCATTACTTTGTGCACAAGTGGGTGTGCTTTGGAGGAGATGTGGTTTGGACTCTGCAGCTCCTTTACTCCCCTTGCTGTTAACAAATTCTGATAATTTATTTTGTAGTGTCTGAATAGTGCGGATTCACCAACATGGAAACAATAAAAAAAAAAAAAACGGCCTTGGGTTAAAACATTTAAGGGTTCAGTGGGGTATCTTGTTGAATAGCACTTCAGCTTTATTATACAGTGTGTGTTATGAGGTCTCCAAAGAGAAAAAGTGCCGTTTCTCCCATGTTGTCTTCAACAGAATTTCCACTATATATCTATACTGTACAGGAGACTAGAGTAGATCCCTGTACACACTGGCTAAGAGGTAAAGCGCAGACAGCCAGACTATCACAGTTTCTGACAAATACAGACAGACAACCCTTCACGCTCACATTCACACCTATGGGCAATTTAATTCTCCTAACCTGCATGTGTTGGAGGAAAGTAGGGCACCTAAAGGAAGCTCACACAGATACAGGTGAATAATTAAATATACAAACACAGACCTTAGGCAGTGAAGTCCTGGAGCCAGAGCTCTGTGTTGTCATGGTGAGGACAGTGGTGATGCCCAGTGCCACTCTGGCTGGGGCAGCATCCATGTTGATCCAGAAGGAGACCCAGGACAGAATGACAATGAGCAGAGAGGGGATGTACATCTGGATCAGGTAGTAGCCCATCTGACGCTCCAGGTGGAACCGCACCTCAATACAAGTAAATTTACCTGCAACAAAGCAGAGACATGCTATAAGAATGTTTACTTATTTATAATTACATCATACATTTAATAAGCACAATAAACAACAAACAAGCAACAAATATGAAGCACAGTTATCTTACATACAGCAGATGTCTATCTGACAGTGCTGTAGCTTAATTTAAAGGGGAGATTCCAACAGTGTTTAATTCAATGCCATGTCTGAATATAACAGAGTCCTATAATAACTTTAGTCCCTCCAAAATTGATAATCTTGTTAATAGTGCTGCAGGCTCACTACGATCAACATTACTCTATCGCTCCTATAAAAAGGAAATTATTAAAACATAGGAGATTAGCACCTTGGTACAACCACCAAACCCGCCAATTGAAGCAAAAAACAAGGAAATCAGAAAGGAAATGGCGCTCTTCCAAATTATTAGAATATCACTCAATTTGGCAAGATGCTCTTAAAATGTATAGAAAGGCCCTCCGTAATGCCAGAGGAGCCTATTATTCAGTACTAATAGAAGAAAATAAGAATCACAGCTCTGTTGAGCCACATATCTCCATAAACTTAAGTAGTAATGACTTCATGAGCTTCTTTTATAATAAAATTATTACTATTAGAGAGAAAATTTGTCACCAAATGCCCTCAACAGCTATCACTGGCTCTCCAAGTTCAGGGACTTTAACTAATGTAAACTCAGATATATATTTAGAATGTTTTTCTGCTATCAATCTTCATCAGTTAACTTCAATAATTTCTACATCGAAGCCATCAACCTGTCTATTAGACCCGATCCCAACTAGGCTGCTTAAAGAAGTCGTACCCTTAATTGGCTCTTCTTTACTGGATATGATTAATCTTTCTTTATTATCAGGATATGTACCACAGTCCTTTAAAGTAGCTGTAATTAAACCCCTTCTTAAAAAGTCCACTCTTGACCCAGGGGTTTTAGCCAATTATAGACCGATTTCTAACCTCCCCTTCCTCTCTAAGATTCTGGAGAAAGTAGTCGCCAAAGAGCTGTGTGACTTTCTACATAACAATAGTTTATTTGAGGATTTTCAGTAAGGATTTAGAGTTCATCACAGCACAGAGACAGCTCTGGTTAAAGTTAATAATGACCTTTTGATTGCTTCCGACAATAGACTTGTCTCTGTACTTGTATTATTAGATCTTAGTGCTGCATTTGACACCATTGACCATGATATTCTTTTACAGAGACTTGAGCATCAAATTGGCATTAAAGGAACCGCACTAAGCTGGTTTAAGTCATACTTATCAGATCGTTCGCAATTTCTACATGTTAACGATGAATCTTCAATAAATACTACAGTTAGTCATGGAGTTCCACAAGGTTCTGTACTTGGACCAATACTATTTACTTTATATATGCTCCCTTTAGGCAACATTATTAGGAATCACTCCATTACCTTCATTGCTATGCAGATGATACGCAGTTATATCTATCGATTAAGCCCGATGAAATTAATCAATTATCTAAATTACAAACATGTCTTAAGGACATAAAATCCTGGATGAGCTGCAATTTTCTGATGTTAAACTCAGAAAAAAAACGAAATTCTTGTACTTGGCCCCAAAAACCTTAGAGACTCACTGTCTAAAGATATAGTTACTCTAGATGCCATTACCTTGGCCTCTAGCACCACTTTCAGGAATCTTGGAGTTATCTTTGATCAGGACATGTCATTTAATTCCCACATAAAGCAAACCTCCAGGACTGCCTTCTTTCATTTACGTAATATTACAAAAATTAGACACATCCTGTCACAGACAGATGCAGAAAAACTAATCCATGCATTTGTTACTTCAAGGCTGGATTACTGCAACTCTTTATTATCAGGTTGCCCCAATAAGTCCATTAAGACGCTCCAATTAATTCAAAACGCTGCAGCACGAGCACTGACAGGAACTAGAAAAAGAGCTCACATCTCTCTTGTACTAGCTTCTCTGCATTGGCTCCCTGTAAAATATAGAATAGAATTTAAAATCCTCCTCCTCACCTATAAAGCTCTTCATGGTCAGGCCCCTTCATATCTTAAAGAGCTCATAGTACTCTATTACCCCACTAGAACACTACGTTCTCTGAATGCTGGGCTACTTGTGGTTCCTATAGTCTCTAAAAGTAGAACAGGAGCCAGAGCCTTCAGTTACCAAGCTCCTCTCCTGTGGAACCAGCTTCCAGTTGTGGTTTGGGACGGGCCTGCCACCACTGCTAAAAAAAATCCTAGAGGAAACACTGTTATCATCATCAGTCACTACTATTGGTGTAGTTGTTGCTACTGTTGTTGCTGTGCACCTGTCTGTCTGTCTTTGTCTCTGTCTCTCTCTCTCACCTGGGCGGCTGTGGCTCAGAGGCAGAGCGGGTCGTTCCTAAATTGGAAGGTTGTGGGTTCGAACCCCAAATTGCTCCCGATGCCATGCATCGGTGTATGAATGTTAGTTTCTGTTCGATGGACTTTCCCGTGAAAGGGTGAATGTGGCACGTAGTGTAAAAGCGCTTTGAGTGGTCGGAAGACTAGAAAGGTGCTATACAAGTACAGGTCCATTTACCATTTACCAACTGGTCGAGGCAGATGACCACCAACCTAGAGCCGAAGGGTCTGTCCTAGGTTTCTGCCTCTTAACAGACAGTTTTTCCTTGCCCTTTATTGCCAAGTGCTTGCTCATGGTGGTACTGTTGGGTCTCTGTAAATGTTATAAGGAGTTCGGTCTAGACCTGCTCCATTTGAAAAGTGTCCTGAGATAACTTCTGTTATCAATTGGCGCTATACTAATAAAATTGAATTGAATTGAAATGAATTACAAGGCTGGGTAAAGTTTGCTGCATTTACCTGTGCTCCAACCTTGCTCAACCTTCTGCTCAAATTTGGATTTTCTGGCTCTACTAACTAACATTATGGCAGCAGGCATTCACTTTATGCCCTTCTTTTAAAAAAGTGCCATCAGAAACATATTGGTGAAGTCACAGACAGGGGCGTGGCTACTAAACTTAGGGGTGTAACAATACAGTAAACTCACAGTTTAATACAATTCACAATCCTGGGTTCACAATATGATTTTCTCACAATGTTTTTAATAAAATGAGACTGAAGACTGTGGCTGATAAGGTAGTTCTCAGAAAAAGATCCACAAAATATATGTTTTTTTTATCAAATCATAGAATTTCTTTTTTCTTTGTCAAACTGAAACTGATGTCTTTGCACTTTGACACTATAATTAAAAATGGACATAGTCTCTGTGACGTCACCCATAGGTCTTGACTCCGACAGCTTCTGGCTAATCCAGAAGCGGGCAAGGACGTGGAGCGTAGTTGGAGCTGAGTGTGGATGAATGAAGCCTGGTTACTGAAAACAGCCGTCTGTGACGGCACCCACCTGTCACTCAAAGCATTGCCTTAATTATGCAAAAAACGTAATATAAATTAAACGGATGAGTTGTATAAAATTTCACACAGTTTTTTGTTGCTTTCGTGTGGGCTTCATTAGCAGGCCACGCAGTTTGCCACTTACTACTAGTGAAGTCGGACATTGAACAAGCAAATCCAAAAGTAGATAGTGCTCTCTTTTAGTTAAAAAGAGGACCATGATTAATTTTTCATCTCACTGATTTAAATCTTTTTATTTGTATCCTAATTGAACTGTCACTCAACATATTGTTACATTCTACTTGGTCTTGACTCAGGGTCAGCTCATGCAGCCCAAAATCTATAAATATCTATAATCCCTGTCCTCCTCTGAGCCTCCTGAATCATTCAGTGTCCCAACCCCCCACACAGCGCCTCAGGTCGAAGACACCACATCCATGTTTGTCTACTGTCTATGGTCAGATCCCATTTAATTAAAAGATGACATCAGTCTGGATGTCAGGCTGTTTGTTTCTCCCTCTTGCAGCTGATTTTTTTTCTTGACTTGATCCCAGCAGCACAAACATGACTGATGAAACGTGGCAACAGTTTCACCCCGTGTGCATGTAACCTTTGTTGTGATGCTTATGGCAGAGTGTATATGTATGTGTGTGTTACCTGTGTTGTAGTGCTTGGTGCAGTATCTGAGGTCTGACTCATCTTTGAGGATGAACTGTGGGAGCGTGAGCCCTTCGGCCACTTGGACTGGTCCGTTCTCCTGCCACTCAAAGATCAGGTCGTTCATGGTGTAGCCAACTGAAAGAAGCAAACAACAGGAAATTTTATGGAATAATATTATGCAACAGAAAGATAAGGAGAATAAATCATTAAAGTGATTCATGATTCTCTGACATTTTAAATAATTTCTGTTATTTTACTTAATCTTACAGCAAGTAGGCTGACTGAAGGCTTAGAGCTGCTTTCTGAGATTATTCAGTCTTGTCAATTGTTGTACTTTATTTGTCAAATGTCACTCAAATCACACTTTTCAAATCCTCTGATGCCTGTGTAAAAAATAAAAAAGAATTGTATTGTATAGTATTGTATCAACTTTGTCACAAAAATGCTATTGTTGGTACATTAATTGAGGAATAAAAGAAGAAAGAACAACAGAAAAACCAAACCAGCTTTACCTTCAGCAGATTTAGGTAAAAGTTCTGCTTTTAGATTTTTAAGTAGTATTGGCAAAATGTAATTATTGAAAGTAAACAGGCTCCTTGTGTAGCACAATGAGTTAGAGTTAAATTAGTATTACATTATTGAATCGTATACATAATCTAATTACATGTTACCAGTAAGCAAAGTTAATTTACTTTATGCTTGAAAGTGATTCCATCATCCATTTCGTGAGAAGCGCCACATATTTTTATATGTAACATGTAACTAGAAGCTATAGTAGCTAATAAGTAGAGCTGTCAAAAAAGAAGCAGTGGAGCAAAAATTACAATATATATATATAACATATTACAAATCATATAATATTAATAATAAATTAAGAAGCGATGAACGGGCCCTCGCACTCCACATAACTCGGGGTGTGCTGCGGCCGCGCCACGTGCCGGTGTAACACGTGCGGACCACAACATGTACATTTCACGTAAATCCGATCAAAATCGCCATGCAGCGCTTACTTCCTGTTGCACTATATCTGAATATTGTCATCTAGACGTGTTCATTATCAAATGTGAAGTTTCATTGAGATTGGACCATGTACGCTGAAGTTATGACAACTTCCTTTTGTTATGGCGAATCGTTGAAATTGGATGCCATGCCATGGAATCGACGGAATGTCGTAAATAGCACAACTACTAAAAAAAAATAGAATATAAAATAGAAAATACTAAATCTTGCGCCACGACTGACATGTGCGAAGGGTTTCATGAGTTTTCGAGCACGGGAAATCCTCCAAAAATGTGATTCATTTGTTACTAAAATAATAAGAATCCTTACAGATACAATAGGGCCTTCGCACAGTCAGGGCTCGGGCCCTAAAAATCTATCAAAGATCCACTCTGTAATCTTCTTCATACTGTCCATATCTTTGACAAATACGAACAAATGGCTGGCTTTGGTAGTAGCGTATTTTTGTCCATTTATTCCAGCTACAGTACTGCTGCCCTGAGGTTAATTCTGACAGAGCTCACAGCCCAGTGTGTAATTAAGGTAGTTACATGCACAAGTCAGATGAAAAAAGACTTCGAAATACACTTCACAGCGACAGTGCACAGGCCCATGATCAGTTAAGAGGTGGCACAGGAAGCTGGATGCTTGGCACAAACTGTAACTGTGATAATAAAAATAATCCCATCAAGTTTTTTAAAGCACAGTATTGGAGAGTGCTCCAATAAAACATACATACATCCTTATATCCAGCTAAATTATGTTCCATTCTTCAACCATGCTTGGTGAAGGCTACTAATGGGAAAGAGTGGGAAAAGTACACAAACTGCACAAACAAAACGTATGAGCATAATGACAGAAAGTGGAAGCTACATTAACATGCATGCGGTCCGTGCACTGTAGGGATTTTTGGCAAAAGCAGAAACCAGCTGGTGCATGCTGGTACAAGCCTTCAGCCATAAACAAAAAATTGAGTTCATCTTGCCTTTTAAGGTTCAGCTAAAAGCGTGTGAAAAGCCTATGTATGTTAAAAAAAAACAACAACAAAAAAAAACAAGAAGAGACTATGCCGGCAGCCTTCCCTTGCACACAAGGAAGCGTCTGTGTTTGGCTCTGGATGTTTTTTAAATCTTGCAGTTGCCCCTGGTGGTAACAGGGTCTCCAACTGTCAACTCAAAGCACTTACAAATTCTGCAGCTGCATTTACTCAAAACACTCATTTCATCTAGTAAAAAAAAAACCACTCCTATTACTGTTACAAATGAGGTTACCTGTGCAGGAACATCAGGTTACCCTTCAGTTTGAATTAATTCTACACATTCTATCTATATGTAATGAGGAATATTAATTGAATTGGAGATGGAGATCAAGGCAGTTTTTCTCTCTCAAACATGCATCATGTCATGACTGGAGTAATTTCCTCTCATCCTCTCTCAGTCTCTCTCTCTCACTCTCTCTCGTGTGCGTGCCTTCGTGCTTCCTGTGTTCTCTGCTGCATGACATCAGAGACACAGCCATGAAAATAATCCATAGACATATATACAAATAAAGAAGGAGCTAGATCTATGTATGGTAATGCCTGTGGCCAGTGGGCTGGAGCAGAATAAAACCACCAATGAAGACAACTAATCTGTTCAAGTGTTATCTGTCCCTCCGGGGCCAAGCTAAGCTCCTGATTGGACAAAGGATGAACTAGTCATCATAACCCTATCAACATTATTAAACGACTTTGCGTTTCCTTAAAAAGACATGGCCACGTGTCTGCGTTAGGGCTGTTTCATAGAGGGGGAAGTGGAGGGGAAGGAGGATGGTACTAAATATACTTTGGTAAAATGTATGGATGAATGAACATGTGAGACACATGGCAAAATAAACAGGATAACATGGAAAATTATATATGATCTGTAACTGTTTGCATATCATTACCCACACATTTGTACTTCAATGTAAATGATAGTATCAGAGTTTATACACTGTCCATTTGTTCTAATTCATTTGATTCTTTGCAGTATCCTGCTCCAGTCTGCACAGGTGGTGCTCCCTGTATGAATCCAAGCAGCATGCCAAACAGTCAGTGGTGTGCACAGTTTAAGTCCCTGTGGGAATACAGACAGACCCTAACGGTCCCATCACCGAGGTATGGAATATGCATACGGCACAATGCACGACAAGCCACTGCAATTATGATGAATAATAAACAGAAGCAGGAGGACCGCTGGCTGAGTGATGTTAACTTATTAATCAACCATGTGTGGCTGACATTGTTGATTTGTGAGGATGTGAGAAGGCTTTATTTTTTAAACAATTTGATCGTAAGTGCTGTTTGCAGGTCCTGCTGTCACAAAACCCTTGTTTAAAAAAAAAAAGAATGTATGTAGCTGCTTGTGATACCAAGATGAAACAGACCGCCTTGTTCAGGTGTGAAAGGTGTGAGTTGGATATCGGGTTTGTTGACAAGGCTATACTGCCTAGGTTGTTCCTCATATCTGTAGCGGGCTTATATTACCAACAGTGGACAGAGGTCAGTACACCCCCAGTTTGGAGAAGCAGACAGGAGTCCGGCACAGAAGCAGAGCAATGCACTGCTGTAGGGGTTGCACAGAAACATATTAGCCCCCCCCAAAAAAACCAATATTTTTTTTTGTGTACGCTATATTAAGAATATTTTCACCACTTTAAAACATCTTTAAAATCTTCAGAAATGTGAAGTTTTGATAGGAGCATTGTCTGTTGTTGTCAAAGTCTCCTCTGTGTAGTAAACATCACAGATTATAGATGATAGTGAAATAATGCCTGCTGCCTTTCTCTGTAAAAAAAGACCACTAATACTGAGCTAGATATAACCAGTTCCAACTATGGTTTGCATAATATCCCAGATAGATATTATGGTTTATGCTAGTTTTGAAAATGAAGCCAAGCAAAATTAGCTTACCCCACTCGCAGATTTTATTGCTCAAAACAAGAGAAATATATAATATTTAAGAACATTTGGCTTGTTTTAGAATTGTTCTTATATGGTAAATCCCCCTCCTAAGAGGTGGGTATACTTTCTATATATGTACAACTACACCTCTGTGTGCTAAGAAAAAATTGTCCTAACTGCTATCTGGTGTGACTGAAAGAATCCAAATATGTAAAGTATTTATACTTATATACCTAATACTGTATATCCCCATTTCCAACTGATTTTGGTTAGGGTTAGGAACGGCAAACAGTGTGTGTGTGTGTGTGTGTGTGTGTGTGTGGGGTGTTTATACTGTACTTACAGCTCTCCAGCTGCATGATACAGGTCTGAACATCCATTGGGAAGTTTTTTAGATCCATTGGACATGACAGAGTTAGTGTTAGTCTGAAAGTGAAGACAGCAGAGAGAACAAGCGAGTCAAAGACAGTGACAGGGTTTAAAGTCATTCATACCTGTCGTACACATGTACAGTATCAAAATGCTTTTATCTGGGCTCATTTTATATTAATGCACCACTAAGTGGGATATCTTTGAGGCTCCGAAACAGAAGCATAACCTCTCTGCAATATCTCTGACATTTTTACTCTTGCTTTCCATCACATCCACTATAGCGAGTAAGACCACAAATATAACCTGGTTCTTTTATTTTAGAATCACGTGCAGGTTAAAGCATTTCACATAGACATTAGAAACAAACACAGAAACTTGCATAAAGCAATACAGAACTACTATTAGCATGTAATGTTGAAAGTCAAACAGTTGTGAGTATTAACAGTAAATCTAGGCGTAAAATAAACACATTAACACATTCTTTATAAAATATTTTTGTCAAGGCGTCGAAATGAAGTGACTGTTTATTTGGATCTCAACAGAAACGAAAAGAACCTTTAAGTTTTTGTGTTCTGGACAAAAACAAATCAGAATAAATTACAAATAAGTCTAGTCTTAGATGACTGTTATGCCACATTGTTTTGTTCAGTTTACATTATGTTGGTAGGTTTCAACAGGTTAAATTTCATGCTTTTTCAGAGCATTATGAATACTATTTAAGACTTATTTTACATCCATACTGACAAAAAAAATGTGTGAAGGAAAATTCATATTGTTGTTACAGCATGACCAATATTTTTTTCCCCCAGAAGCGCATTAAAAGCGAGACTGAAAATGCAATTTAATACAAGTAATGTTGATATAATTTTTCAGTCAGGTCCTCCATAAAAAGCGGAATCCTAATGGTGCACCATCATACTAGGGCTGCACAATATGATATATACAGTAAGTATATATAGGGACTATAATATATAAAAACATCATGTTTCGATTATTTTGACAGATATTGTGATTTACAATATGATTCATGATTATTGTAGGAAATATAGCTTTTTCATCACAAATTCAATTTTCACCAAAAAAAAAAGTTTTTTGAGGTCTGTACCAAACAATCAAACAAAGATTTGTAGGCCAGGGACTTTTTGCAGCACTACAGTACTTCATTTTAATGCTGGTTGTCACATATTCTACCTTTATTAAAACAATGCATCTCTTGCGATTTGCATATTGCACATGGCCATAATGCAATTTAGATAATATTTCGATGAACTGTGCAACCCTACATCATACAGACCTACAGTGCTTATGGTGATGTATTCCCACCACAGATAATGTATTCCTCCAAATCTTATTTCCAGCTGAACTGTGGGTGCACTGTGCGCCTCTAGCTATTAAAATGCTAAAGGTCCATCACCGTGTGTTCAAATCACACCCGGCTCTGTGATTCATTAATTCAGGGCCATGTAGCTTTTCGCTTTGTTCAAATTCAAAGGCATGAGTAACTTGAAAAACAATCACCCCCACACTTACCTTATAGAGTACAAAACATTCCCATTCTTAAATATCCTGAGCAGTTTGTTGTCTGTAGTGACTTCGTGAAAGTGGGCCCCCTTCTCATTCGCGAAGAACAGATCTGGTTTCCATATGGAGTCTAACATAGAGGGGTCCAGGTCCAGAGAGTCATCTGGGTATTCAGCATAGGCGAGCCTGGGATCATTCCACTGCTGACGGAGGAAGATATTCACACGGTAGTCCTACAGGCGAAGAGAATAACATGGATAAATCACACACAGTGAGACATGGAAAAAACTATTTCCAGGGATGGGTTACCATAGGTGAACAAAAATAAAACTACACTCATCATTTCAGGCCATTTCTGGACATAACCAATCATCCAAGCTGCTCAGTGTATCATATTTTTATCCTGTTAGTGACCTACTCAAGGAGGCAGAGGGGTGCAAATGATCTTGAGCCCTGTACGCCAGCTGTTCCATTGGATGCAGTGATGTTGAACAGCAGTGGTGGAACCATATTGTACATGAACACATATGTTCCAACTGGATTCTTGATTTCTGCATGCACAAGCACACCTTCCACCACATTTGTAGGCAGCTGCAGCCTCCTCATTTCCATCAGCATATACGGCGCACAGACACAGTGGGTGGGGGAGGCATGGGCACTAATAAGTGGCTACATTGTTGCTAGTTACAGGTTCATGCTCCTAAACCATTGCTTATTTGCCTCAGGTAAGCAAATCATAGTCCAGTCCAGATTGTCCCTGAGGTGTCTAGTGGTTTCTAATCCATGTGGGAACCAATTATAAGAACTAGTAACAGTATTCACAGGAAAAGATTTGTTTTAGTCCCTCTCCAGTAAACAATCAGTCTTTATTTATGTTCCTACAGTGTGCTGTTTGACTGCTGTCTGTGCAGTTTGACACTAGAAGGATGTTGCTCTGTGCTCATTGAACATCTGATTTTAAGGGGCGGGGCCTACCAGTATGATTTGTGACATCACAAATAGATTGGAAGTCAGTCCTGGTCCAGTATGCAACCTGTACAGTGTGATGTAGAAACTTGAAGCCACCAAGAAGTTGTGATGTTGCAATCACAAGAACTAACGCAAATTCAACCAATCCCGCTAAATTCTGTGTCTTGCCATTTTGTCCAAAAAAACCTTTTTCTGAATTAACCAATCATTGTAATTCCCTGTGCAAAACTTTGAGCCATACATCACTAAACTGACTTCAATGTTTCTAGCTCTGAAGATGCAGACCGTGCAGACATGTATGAGGTGAAAGTCTCACATTTACCCTGTCTGAACAGCGAGATTTCATTCTCACTGGAACAAGTTGCCTTTGATTTTTATGGAGCCCCTTGAGGGTCATGGGGGAAGAAAAAAAATTGGTGGGTAAAAAAAAAAAATAAATATTTTTGTTTCCCCCCTGAGAACCTTACATGGGAGAAAAAAAATACATTATATGTATGTCATATTTTTACTTTCTAAGTTTTTTGTCCTCCCCCATGTCCCTTAAGGGGCTCTGTAGATATTTAATCAATTATAAACAACAACAACAACACAAAAAGCAACTTTTTTCCTCCAATTTAAAATTCCAAAGATTTACATCAGGCATTTTAGCCCATAACAATCCCAAACAAAGCTGACAGAATGGACTTTACAGTGAAGTAGGAGACATTTTGTGTCAAGAAGGAAAAACTTTACAAATGAACATATTTGCATATTCAGAGATTCTGAAATTGTTATTGAGGTAGAAAGAGGAGATGGAAATTATTATTATTATAATTTCCATCTTTCCATCAGACACGCATTCTGGTTTCCAACTTAATACTAGGGCTGTGTATCAGCAAGTATCTGATGTTACAACACATATGCCAGTACCAAGGTTACAATTCAATATATTTAGATATATTGCAATACTGCAAAGATGGCGATATATTGCAATATTTCTCAATCTATTTTTAGTAAAAACTATCATAGTGTAAAGATAGGAATGCAAAGATAGATCACAAGACAGTTATAGTGCAAGACAATTACACATATTGAAATCGGTGAGATGAAAAATCAATCGTGATATCAATCATGGTATCAAAGAAGACAAAGAAAAGGAAACATGCATTGTTTTGCACAGTTTATACCCTACCTCAGAAATTAAAAAAGGATTCTATAATTTGATAAAGAAAATATAAAGTATATTTAGTAGATTTCTGTCTAATTTGTCTGGAGGGGATCTTCAAGAACTTTTGGCCAAAGTACTACTATGTATCAAAATCACAAAAAACACTAATCTCTTATTCAAACCTATTAAAACTATTATTACATCCATCTGACTCAAAGGCTATTTTACAAACCATCTGGAGCCATCTTTGAGCACAACAGGAATGAGCTGCTTTAATCTGTTAAATGAGGGCTATCTATGTGGGAATTACAAACAATAAGAGGAGATAAACCACGCTTAGATGGGGGAGGGGGGAGGCTGCGCATAATTCAGCAATGTTATCAAGCAGGAAATGCTTTGGTAAAAAATGTTGGTCATTTGATCGCAGGGCGTCTCAAACTGGTCCCTAGGTAGTGCGATACTGCGTGCCTTGATGGCAGCACCACTCCACTGTTCGGCGAGTTCAGCTCCCTAGAAAATTCCCAGAATGCACTGTAAAAAGCAGTGAGCGCTCACTGACTGGAAGTGACATCACCACTCTTCCACTTCACCACGCTTCCTACTGAGTGAACCAGAGTGAGTGCGCAGTGAACACAGATGCGGCTAATGAAATTACACAAGGGTAGGTTTGATTTAGGTGTGACAGTAAAACTAACTGTTGCCGATGCTTTCAGCCTACATGAGTCAAACATGCAGATTTTATTTTATGAGCTGCGTCTTCTGTGCACGACAAGACTCCCCTTTAGAAGTATTATAACAGTTTTATATAGCTGTTTATTAACCGCATCCTTTATTTTTCCTTTCTGTTTACACCATAAATGTCATTATCATCGCTGCCTATATATCATGTACCAGATTCATCATTGTCCCAGTGCTCACTGATGTACAAATGTAATCAGAGCTAGAAATATAATTCACTGTACAGTGATTCACTGTCGTCCTGAGGTTATCCTCAATAACTACAGATGTTATTTCTGGTGGTGTCGCGATTACCCCAGTGTCTGTGCACCAAGAATTAAACACACAAACCTTTCTCTCACTGGTGTATCAACTGTTCTAGACTATCGGGGGATTTCCCATGGTGCACTGAGCTCCCCTCTTCCTCTCTCTTTCTGCACTCATTCATGTTCCATTAATGCATGTTACTAACTTCACTTCTTCCCCGGAGTTCTTGTGCTTTCTCGTCTCGCAGGTTCTTATCGATCCTGGTGGAGCCTCCTGCCATGGTCCTGCTAGATTGCCATTGCCAATACTGTTGTTGCTGTGCACCTGTCTGTCTGTCTATCTGTCTGTCTGTCTGTCTGTCTCTCTCTCTCTCTCTCTCTCTCTCTCTCACCCCAACTGGTCGAGACAGACGACCACCCACCTAGAGCCGAAGGATCTGTCCTAGGTTTCTGCCTTTTAACAGGCAGTTTTTCCTTGCCCTTGTCGCCAAGTGCTTGCTCATGGTGGTACTGTTGGGTCTCTGTAAATAATGTTTTAAAGAGTTCGGTCTAGACCTGCTCTATTTGAAAAGTGTCCTGAGATAACTTCTGTTATGAATTGGCGCTATACAAATAAAATTGAATTGAATTGAATTGTTCTGCCAGCACAAGACTATGCTAATGCCCCAACTGCATACTATGTACTCATTTTCAACTGTGCTTTCACAAAATTATAAAAAAATATAAAGAAATGTAGGCGTAGTAAATGAAAGTCAAAAGGGACTTGCAGCTTGTTTTAGAAGACTTAAGCTAATCATTCATGTAAAAGGAGAGAGAATAATACATCAATATGAATAGTATCAGGGTTCCCACTCTTAATATCAGAATAATCATTTTTGAGCACCTTTCCAGGACATTTTCCACTTTTTCTTAACAATACAGGACAGCACTTCCTTACAAACGGTCGTATAAGCTGCAGTTTTGGGCAAATTACTACATTAACTTATAGTTCACATCAAGTAGAACTTATTTTATTTGATAGAAAATGAATCATCTATCAAGTTAAAATGTACAGCAAATCTGATCATTAATAGACTGTATTGATGTAGATATTGGAAATTTCACCACAGCTTTGGAAAAAACTGACTCGATGCTGAAAAGATCACTGCAAGTCAGTTCTCCTTTGCATCTGGTAAAAATGCTTTGAATTACCACACAGTTTATCCCACTAACAGTTCCAGGAAAACATAAATAATTTCCAGGATATTTGGTCATTTTAGTCGATTTCCAGGTGTCTCCATGACTAGAAAACTACTCTCCTATTTTCAAGGTTTTCCAGAACGCATGGGAACCCTGAGTATGTAGACCAGAATGACTGAAACATATCCCATCCTGTGTGTGTGTTCAATTGTGTTGAGAGGTGTATTATGCTGGGGAAACATATATTACCTGCATTACTGTGACTACATTTAAACCCACACTAATTATTCTAAATTTGATGATATAAGAGGCATATATACAGCATGTTCCGTTTGGATATTCCTAATTTTCCTTATTCCAAATTGAGCATTTTCAGATTAAGACTAAATTAAGTAAGACGTTATTATTCAGGTTTTAGGAGTATTCTTTGGACATGTTTGCAGCACATTCAGAATATGAGTCTCATTTGGGGTTTTTAGCACAGTTTGCCTGCTTACAGTCAGCTCTATGTGTTGGGGTAGCATGGTGGCTCAGTGGTTAGCACTCTTGCCGCAAGAAGGGACAGGACCTTTTTGTGTGGAATTTGCATGTTCTCCCCGGGTCTGCGTGGGTTTTCTCCAGGTGCTCCAGTTTCCCCCACCATCATCATATTTTAGGTTAATTCTCCTGTCCACTGGCTTATCTTTGAAGTTGGTCCCCACTGCTGCTAGTACTTAGGAAGGGTTAAATGCAGGGGACAAATTTCACTATACATTGTACTGTGTATGATTGTATATGTGATAACAAAGTTGATTCTATATATGTTCTATATAAACAAAGCAGCTAGCCAGGTTTGCAAGGCTTGAGTTGAGACGTACGTACAAAAGAAAAGCCCAATTTCTGGTCGGAAGGAGAAACACTCTACTTTTAAACATTGTGAAAGAATTGGATATCAACAGGTTTTTGTGCAAATATC